AGAAGAAGAAGAAGAAGAAGAAGAAGAAGAATTAGGACTTATACAAATATTAACATTTTGAAAACAAAATACCAGATATAACCTCAAATTTCATCTTTTCCCAATGTGTGAAAATATTTCATTGAGAAAGTCCAATGTGAGTCTGTTTAGTATTTTTCATTTATTTTTCCCTGTGTTTGTTTGTTTTCAAGTTCCAAGATTTCAAGAGCCCAGCAGTCAATATTCTCTTGCAGATATGAGGAATATATTTTCTATCAAAGAAGACAGCCTTGTGATTAACCCTGCAAAAGCAAAGAGGTGGAGACAAGCAAGACTAAATCCAATAATGGCCGAAACTTTGGAGCATTTGAAAGCATATTTGTGTCACAATGGTCTGTCTTCTAAGGAAACTAAGCTGGAGATCTTTCTGCCTATGAAAGTGCTTCAGCTGGAACGTAAGTATACAGTAGTACATACAACTTGTTACCATTTCATAATGAGAAGACGTCTGACACTTGGTTTCTTCTCAATGGCTATGAAACTATTCAAAAGGCTTAGCATTCCAGATATGCTTCAGTTCTGCCAGTTCTCGGCTTTTGGCCTTCCTGGGCTCTGATTTCTTCTCAGAAAAATGTGGCAGTTTAACTAGCTAATCCTAAATTCCTATTCTGCTGCCTAGAATTTTCCTTCTTTCTTTCTTTCTTTCTTTCTTTCTTTCTTTCTTTCTTCTTTTCAAGACAGGGTTTCTCTGTGTAGCTCTCTGGTTGTCCTGGAACTTGCTCTGTAGACCAGGCTGGCCTTGAACTTAGAGATCTGTCTGCCTCTGCCTCCGGAGTGCTGGGATTAAAAACTCAGAATAGCATTGTGAGATTCATCCTTGCTATGTGTAGCACTAATTCATTTGTTTTATTGATAAATAGCTTTCTTATTATATGTACTTAACAAGAGTGTGATCATCTCCCCAGGAGTTATCTCCAATTTTTTAGTGTTGGGAGTAAAACTCCTATGAGTGTTTTTGTGCAAGTCTTTTTATGGGCATGGTATTATTTTTCTTGAGAGAATATACAGAAGTAAAGTTGTTTATTATTATTGTAGGTGTTATAGGTATTTGTTTAATTTTAAAGAAACTATTAACTTTTTTCCAAATTATTTCACCATTGTACATGCCCATGTAATGTGTGAATTTTGGTTACATGGAAGCAGCTTTTCTAATGGACATGTGTAAGGCCCATTGTAGCTTTATTCTGCATTTCCCTAGCACCTAATAGTGATGAGTGTCTTTACATAATTGGTGACCAGATTTAAAGAACATCAGTCAGTGGATCTTCATAAAGTCAGATGTATGCAGTCATCACCACAGACTGTTTTCAGAATACTTTTTAACCCCTCCCTCAAATTCTATGTCTAATAGCAGTCACTCTCTATTTTGCCCATATGTGGAGTGACTAATCTATTCTCTGTATAGCGTTGCCTCTCTGAGACAGTCTATATAAATAAAACCTGTCAGATATTGGTCTGTTGTGACTGGCATATTTTATTTAACATCACAATTGTAGGGTGTGTGTAATGTCAAATCTTACGCCAACTTTTTAATTAGGTTTCTTTTAAAATGTTCATTTATGAGAATTTAAAAATAAGGCCAGGCATTGGTGGCACACGCCTTTAATCCCAGCACTCAGGAGGCAGAAGCAGGCGAATCTCTGTGAGTTCGAGACCACCTTGGTCTACAAGAGCTAGTTCCAGGACAGCCTCCAAAGCCACAGAGAAACCCTGTCTCAAAAAACCAAAAAAAAAAAAAAAAAGAATTTAAAAATATATTTTGGATCCAGCCCTTTGTCCAAGGCTGTGATTCATTATAACCTATTATCAACAGAGCTTTACTGGAGTTCCTTCTTTGGAGTTCCTTCTTTGCCTAGCAATTGAACTGCTAGTATTAAGAGATGGTTGCCAGACAGTGATGGCACACGCCATTGATCCCAGGACTCAGGAGGCAGAGACAGGCAGATCTCTGTGAGTCAAAGCCAGCCTGGCTTATACAGTGAGCTCCAGGACAGTCAGAGCTACACAAAAACTCTGTCTCAAACAAAAAAAAAAGAAAAAAAAAGAAAAAGAGAGATGGTAAACTTTTATGTTTGTTAAAACTTACTTTATTTAGAAGCAAAAATTATTTTTCAAACAATAAAGAACCCCTAAAGATGAGATTATGATAATAGGAAGCTATTATCTAAAAGTTATTCATTTGGGCCTAGAAGTCATTTTGGTGTCTTTTATCTTCTTGTGTCCAGCCTGGCTAGAACATCAGAGTCGACCTTTGCCCATCATGCCCAGGAGTGAGAAGTCTACCAGTGTTCACAGATTACATACACACAAGAGAGCATCTTCAGAGAAAGAAGTGCCACATCTGTTTTTGTCTGATGAATGTGTCTCTGTTAAAAAGCCAAAAAAGGAAGAAAATCCAAAGAATAACCAAGAAGTAGCTGCTACAATGATGCAGAACACAGATGATAGTCGAATTGGACTTAATCACTCTGTGCCATCTGTTGAACCAACTTCCTCTTCATGGATCAAGGCATCTTATGATAAAAAACAGAATGATTTGGACCTTTTGAGCGAGTTTATTACTCTGAGAAGTAAATGCAAGACTTTCACTTCAGATGCTGAAGTCACAGGCCATCACCAAAACAATGGTGGGTACAGTAAAATTTTGGTGTAGATACGTAGCCTCTAGAACTGGGCACTGTCTGTTACACAAATGCGAGGAAAGAAAAGCTCTTTTAGAGAAATTGTATACTTTTTCATAGACAAGGAACATGCCATTGACACTTCTAATAAATAAACATATATACAGGCATAGATATAGATTTAGATATGGATATAAGTATGCTTTCAAAGCTTAAAATGCATTATTTTAATTTGTAACAAAGCCATTACTTATAAAACTTGCCTTGCATAATTTGGATGTATAAGCTTAGTATTCCTAACTTGATCATTCTCTCAGGCTTTTTTTTTCTATTAACTGACAATCCTATGTCAGTATTTTTAAAAACAGTTTTATTGATTCTTCGAGAGTTTCAAATATTGTCTTTTTAACATTTTCATTCCCCCTCCCCGTTTCTAACCAGACCCACCTTCCATTTCACACCCATCCAACTTTATGTCTTCATTTTTGAAAAGGTTTCTTTATTTTATGTGCTTGGGTGTTTTGTTTGCATGTATTCATATGCACCACTGCATGTGTGCCTAGTGCCCATGGAAGCTAGAAGAGGGTGTTGGATCCCCTGGAATTGGGGTTACAGACAGTTTTGAGCTGCCATTTTCATGTTAGCAACTGAACCTAGGTCCTCTGCAAGAGCAATAAGTGCTCTTAATCTCTGAGCCATCTCTCCAGATCCACCTTTAAAAAAAAAAACAAACATTTTAACCCATTAAGTCCCATTAGTGCTACCTATGTACTCTTAAATAGTGACCATCCACCAGAGCATGTTAGACTTACCAAGGGCTGTGCTCTCCCAGTGGCTATCAGTAACCCTTAACTAGGGATTTATCTTAGTATTTTAACACATTTTAATCCATGCTTATGCATTTTATTTAATTGCTTATCAATCTTCCTAATATTATCAAAGAATTTTTATTTGAGTTGTAACTGTTGGATGTTTCCTGCTTCTAACCACATGAAATATACTGTGCCATATCATTTCATTTCCAATAGAACTCTAGAATAATTTTTCTTATTTCAGACAGGGTCTCACTATGTAGCTCTGGCTATCCTCGAATTCACTATGTAGGCCAGGCAGGCCTCAAACTCACAGAGATTCTGCCACCTTTGCCCCCCAAGTGCTTTAATTAAAGGTGTGCACCACTACACCTGGAATATTCTACAATAAGTTTGATAGACTTTACCTTGGCGAAATTGGTACAAAAAGTGTTTATGTTACTTAGAACGTATTTGGGTCTTGCAGTCCTGTGTTTTATCTGTGGAGACAAGACTTGATTCTCAGTGTCATGCAGTTATGTACAATTTTCCAAAAGGTGTGACAGCCATTTATAGATATGCTGAAACTCATTACTGGAGATACTTTAAGGGAATGAGCTTCCTCAAAGAAGGAAGTAGTCTCAGCTTCTCTTACATCATGACTCTTTCTTGATGAGTTTGTCCTGCCCAGCTTAGGTGAGGACTGAGAGGGTAGTTGACTTATTCAGGTGTTTAGCTACCAAATCCATTTGTCTCTCAAATAAATCCCTATTCTCCAACTTAATTCTTATTAGCAATAAAGGTAATTTTCATTTGTTGCTTTATTTTGCAGTTGATCGGGGATAAGAAATATCATATCCCACCTTTCTCAAAAATTTTAGTAGTATCACTTGACTGTAACTATTCAGATTACTTAAAATTAACTGGCAGTGCTGGGGAGATGGCTCAGTGGTTAAGGGCACTGGCTACTCTTCCAAAGGACCTGGGTTCAATCCCCAGCACCCACATGGCAGCTCACAACTCCAGTTCTAGGAGATCTGGACACCCTCACACAGACATAATGCAGGCACAACACCAATGCACATGAAATAAAAATAGATAAAAAAAAATTTGGCCGGGTGGTGGTGCATGCCTTTAATCCCAGCACTCAGGAGGCAGAGGCAGGCAGATCTCTGAATTTGAGGCCAGCTTGGTCTACAGAGCAAGTGCCAGAACAGGCTCCAAAGCTACACAGAGAAACCCTGTCTTGAAAAACCTCCAAAAAAATTAACTGGAAATGTTGCTTGAAGATGACATAGTCTCCAAATTATACTTGGAGTTCTCTTTTTTAACTTTATTTTTATTTTCTGTGCATTGATGTTTTGCCATGGGTGTCAGGTCCCCTGAAACTGGAGTTACAGACAGTTGTGAGCTGCCATGTGGGTACTGGGAATTGAACCCAGGTTCTCTGGAAGAGCAGTCAGTGCTCTTAACCACTGAGCCATCTCTCCAGCCCCATATACTTGGCGTTCTTTATTTTCATTTAAGGAGAGTCTTTCTGTGTAGCCATGTCTGTCTTCAAATTTGTAATCCTCCTGCCTTAGCCTTCCAAGTTCGGGGATTATAGGCATAGACACCTTTTTTTTTTTTTTTCCGAGACAGGTTTTCTCTGTGGCTTTGGAGGCAGTCCTGGAACTAGCTCCTGTAGACCAGGCTGGTCTCGATCTCACAGAGATCCGCCTGTCTGTGCCTCCAAAGTGCTGGGATTAAAGGCATGTGCCACCAACACCCATCTCTGTTATCATACTTGTTACCTCACATGTTAAAATATCGAAGGTTGGTAACACAGTTTTAAAAGTATCTTATAATCATATTATTGGTGGATGACATTAGTATTTAGTTACAATAGCTGTATGCATACATATATGAATCCTTTGTAATACCTAGAAAAGAAAAAACTTAGCCTATAATACCTAGAAAAGGAAAAAAACCTTAGCATTTATTAAACACTGTATCAGGTGCTGAATTGCATATTAAAAGGAGGGGTGTTTTTGGCCTGGGAGTAAGGTAGGCAGTTATGTAAAACTTGGTGTAGAAAGAAGATGGCTGAGCTGAAGGGTGAGCAGTAAAAAGCTGGTGTATGTACTTGAGAAAGGATGGAGACATTAGAAGGCTTGGAACAAAGGAGGAGATTTTAAGTAGAAAGACAACTCTGGAAAGGCACAGAGATGAGCTAGAGTACTGCTGTCTTGGATGTGTCAGGAACTGGATGGTGCTTGGCCCCGAATCTAAGGTAGGCATCCTAGCCAATATTTACATATGAGGACACCAGGCTGCTGTTAGGACTGGGGTTGAAATCTAACCAGATGCAGAAGTTTTCCCACTTCTGTCATCTACCTTGCTACTCAGCACGATGTTAGGTCCATTGATCCGGATAATTTACTTAACTTAGTTTCAGTGTACTTCCATGAAGAAATTTAGCAATTATGATATTGAACACTGTATTAAAGTAAAGCAATATTATTTCTCCTGAACAATTGAATGTTTTTACTAGAATTTCAAGATAAAGAAAAGTGTTCTTTGACTCTTCAAGAAGAAAGTCCTATTGTTCCTAATAACAAAACTCCAGAGGAAGTATGTCAAGAAAGGGCAGATGATGTCATCGAGATTCAAGCATCAGGTATGCAGTATGCTTTCACGATGTGTTCTGTTTCACTTGATTGAAGTCCTCTCCCAGATGTGTAGAACAATTATTTTCCATGTAATTGTTTTTGTTTCAGAAACTGAATTCCATTTCTAGTTACTTCCAGACATGGAATGCCTGTGCATTGTCTCTCTTTCTCCTTTTGTCCTACTCTAGCCCACTAGCTGTTGTTTCTTCCTTCATTAAATCTGGAGCCATTTCCCTACACTGTGTAGGAAGACCGAACTGCAAGAGTCCCCAGTCTCTTCTTCCATGTTTGGGAAATGTGTTAGTAATAATGTATCCTCTCACCCACTGTCAGGGTGATGTAGATGCTTATCAGAAACAGCGCTCCATCCTTTTCACAAACACTGACGTCAGTGCTGTAATTTTTCAGACATCCAGTGCCAAGCATACTGTCTCCTAGAAGCAGCAGCAACTCCTGTCTTAGAGAAGCTTGCTTGTCTCTGTACTTACCCTGCTGCTGATTGGAAATTTGCCACTGTCATTTTTGACCAAACAAGATTCTTCTTAAAGGAACAAGAAAAAATAATAAATGATGCTGTTCACCAAGGTATGTACAAATCAGATTCAGACTACCCAAGGATGCACATTTATAGATAGATGTAGCAATGCAGACCTCAGACCTGCAGGAAGCCTTAACTGTAATTTAGCATGGAGTACCCACATCTAGGCCAAGCCCAGGAGATTCTCAGTGAATCTCCTAATTGATATGTATTATTTAATAGATCTCCATTGCAAAAAACAAAGTTAACCCCGTAACTATTCATATTGGAACTAATACTTGGCCCTGCTCTGATCATACCCAAACAAAATTACACAAACAAGATCCAAAGGATAAAATTATTTGTAGCGAACTTAACTGCATCCCATAATGAAACACAAGGTTTGTATAAATACAAACATACTCAGCACCCAATAGCATAAAACTAATGAGATCTGGTGAAAAGTCATATCACCAGACAATAAGGAGGCAGGAAATACAGCTCATAATGAGAATAATTCATTGAAACAAACCTGAATCAAAGATACTAGAGTTATCAGCAGTTGCTGAAGCTCATGATAACTGTTTCTGCACATTCAGAGGGGTTTTAGGCCCCTGACAGATAGCCATATTCATTACTGTTGTCATTGTTGGCCTCTACAGTGTGGTTCTGAGGAAGGAGAGAACTGAAAAAAAAGATTTTAAAACAAGACAGTAGGCTTTCTACTCCTTCTTATCCTTATGAGCTTCTTTCCCACCTCTCAGTCCACGGATTAAGAACTTCTCTTAGAGTTATTTCTGTCCCTGCTTGTGGCGTGCATGTTGGGGTTTGTAGCTTCCTATGCTATAGGCCAGGGCATACTAATAGAAAAAATAAGAAACTTACTGTTTGTTGAGTGACATTTTGAAATTTAGCCTCCTTCTCCAGTCTGCCTGTTACCGTTCATTTTTAAGTCTTGGGTGGTATTCCACATACTCTGTCTTGTGCTTATAGTTGAATCAGTAGAAGAGACAGTGCACTGTGCTTACTACATGTTATCTGACCTAGTTGTTTGTTAGTAAAGTCAATTTTCTAAATTCATTACATTATTCATATGTTAGCAAATTAGCACTTCTTTTAAAAATAATATAGCTAGACTGGAGAGATGGCTTGATTGTTTTAAGAGTATGTGCTTCTCCTGCATAGGTCCTAGGTTCAGTAACCACATGATGGTTCCTGCCACCTGTAGCTAGGTTCTAGGTCATCTGTAACCTTCTTGTGGCCTCTGCCTGCTCCTGCATACACATGGTGCACATCAGCTCACACAATGCACACATACTTTTAAATAAAAAATAAGTAAAGCTTTGATGGATATGATAGTTCATGACTTTAATCATACAACTCAGGAAGTAGGTGGATCTCTGGAAATTTGAGGACATCCAGGGCTACATAGTGAGCACTGCAACAACAAAAATAAAATAGGGCCAGCAAGATGCCTTAGCAGATAAAGGCACTTGCTGCCGAGCCTGGTGACCTGATTTTGATTCCCAGAACCCACATGGTAGAAAGACAGACACACTCTTGAAAGTTGTCTTCTGACCTCCACACGCATGTATGGAATATACATGCCCTCCTCTCCCCATCTCACACTTATACATTAAGAAGAATCCAAGCTGGGCGTTGGTGGCACACCCCTTTAATCACAGCACTCGGGAGGCAGAGGCTAGGTGGATCTCTGTGAGTTCGAGACCAGCCTGGTCTACAAGAGCTAGTTCCAGGACAGCCTCCAAAGCCACAGAGAAACCCTGTCTCAAAAAAAAAAAAAAAAAAAAAAGAATCCAATCATTCATCTTCAGAAAGTTCTGGAAGTGCATAGGACAGGTTAAGTAGGCAATTGGCTTGTCCTTCTGAATACTTCTCTTATGTGAGTCATATCTCTGAGCTAATACTTTGAGATATCTCCATTTCAAAGTATTTCTTCTTTTTCAAATCTCTACTTCTGTCTTAACCACTTGGTAAGTTAATTTAATTTTCTTCTTGATTAGAACTGTTTAGGTTTTTTCCAACAAAAATAAACATAATTGAATATTCCTTGCCAATAGGGGATGAGCTGGGCAGTTAGCTGCCTGGGCTTAGTGCTATCTTGAGCGTCACTTATCCTTACTAAAGCTGTGCCCTCATCCATAATGAGATCACAGTAATCATGGTAGGATTATTAGAGTCAGTGGACTAGCTTGCTTATCCACAGCCTAACATTAGCTGTTATTACTAAGCAGATCTGATACATACTCTAAAACGCAATGTGTTAACTATGCTTTTGTTTATATAGGTAAAAATGATGACAGAGAAATGAAGTTCAGACATGCTGCTCTCTTACATCTCCTGGTAACAATCAGAGATGTCCTTTTAGCATGCAGCTTGGATACAGCATTAGGTTGGTAGAGAATTTTTTAATTTTTGCTTTCTTTTTGTTGAATAGTCCATCTGAAATACCTTGCTTTTCTGAAAAAAATACACTTCTTGAAAAATTATGTAGCCTTTTCGCCTATTACACTGATCAACATATATTTTGTCATAATTGTCATTGGGATGTGTGTGTGTGTGTGTGTGTGTGTGTGTGTGTGTGTGTGGTATATATTATATACATTTTGGTGCTAAGGATCAAACTTAGGACCTCTTAATATTTTAATACTAAATAAGCAGTCTATCACTAAGCAAGACTCATCTCAGACTGGAAATAGTTATTTACGCTGTTAGTCTAGGTCTGAATTATAGAGTTCTGATGGCCTTGTACAGGTCTGAATGTATAATAAAAGTTGTGCACTGGTTTTTAATGTGAAATTTGACATCTTGCCATATACATTTTAGGTCCTTAGTGTGTGTTTGGAACTTTTGCTGTACAAAATAATTTAGCCCTTACTGTACAGTGGATGGGGAACCATTGAAAAGAGATGCTACTGGCTTAGATTTGTTTTTAAGTTAATTCTGGGCCCAGAGAGATGGCTCAGTGGTTAAGAGTATATATGCTCTTACAGTGGACCCCAGTTCAGTTTCTGGCCCCCATATTGAAGAGCTCCAGTGGGATTGTTGCCTCTGACCTACAAACATACACATACAGATAACTAAAAATAAATTTGGGCCAGACATTGGTGGCTCACGCCTTTAATCCCAGCACTCAGGAGGCAGAGGCAGGTGGATCTCTGTGAGTTTGAGGCCAGCCTGGTTTCCAGAGCCAGTACCAGGATAGGCTCCAAAGCTACACAGAGAAACCCTGTCTCGAAAAAACAAAACAACAACAACAAAATTGGGGAGGGGCAGGGTTTCTCTGTGTAGCCCTGACTGTCCTGTTCGACACCATGACTGGCCTACAAGAAATCATTTTTAAAAGTTAGGACTGACAACAGTATTAAGAATTTGTAATGAGCTAGGCAGTTGGTGGCACAGTGTCTGGGAGGCAGAGACAGGCCATCTCTGTAAATTCAAGACCAGCCTGGTTTACAGAGTGAGTTCCAGGACAGCCAAGGCTACACAAAGAAACCCTGTCTCAAAAAACAAAACGAACAACAACAAATCAGTAATGAGAATCAGATTTTTTTTACAATTTTTTATTTAAATTAGAAACAATCTTATTTTACATATCAATCCCAGTTCCTTCTCCCTCCCATCCTTCCATGCCCTCCACCGACCTCCCCCTCTCATCCACTCCCCAGGGAGAGTGAGGCCTTCCGTGGGGAACCATCAAAGTCTGTCACATCATTTAGGGCAGGGCCTAGGCCCTACCCTCTGTGTATCTAGGCTGAGAGAGTATCCCTGCATGGGGAATGCTCCTAAAGTCCATTCATGCACTAGGGATAAATGCTGCTTCCACTGCCAGAGGCCCCATAGACTGCACAGGCAAGAATCAGATTTTTAAAAATTGAAAAAAAGGAGGTAAAATGTAAGTCAGTATCTTGTGGCTGGAGAGATGGCTCAGAGGTTAAGAGCACTTCCAGAGGATCATGGTTCAATTCCCAGGACCAACATGACAGCTCACAACTGTCTATAACTTCAGTTCTAAGGGATCCAGCATTCTCACACAGACATACATGCAGGCAAACACTAAAGCACATAAAAATAAATAGATAAAAAGGAATTATTAAAGACAAAAAATAATAAGTCAATATAAATGTTACCTGTCAGCCTAGCAGTACTAATATAAGAATTAACAGGCATATGCATATAAATCATATGGAATAAGAATTAGATGTTTTAAGTTATCATTTCACTAATTACACAAATATCGTGTCAACATCCGATATACAGAAGTTACCAGGTGCTCTGCAGCAAAATTCACAAAACTCAATGGGCCCCAAAATCTCATAGGGAGCTTGTCAAGAAGAAATTCTTGGGATAAAAATCTAGATTTACTAAATATGAATCTTCAAGGTCAAGATTGGGCTCTTTCATGTTTAAGTTGCTCTTTGTAGACAGGTACTGTTGTATATGCTTGTAATGCCAGCTTTTGGGGAGGCTGAAAGAATCCCATGAGCCCTGGAATTGGAGACCATCCTGCAGAACATAGTCAGACCCTGTCCTGTGTGCATGATTTAAATACCAATGTTTTAGCAGATGCACAAATTAATTATGAATAAATACCATTTACTTTACCCAGAGTTTTTATATTCTAATGATATTGTCATGTTCATTAAAAAAAATTCAGGTACAAAGTTGCATAAATTGAATAGTAAAAAAATTCCAATGAATAAGTATTTCAAAAGGATTTCCATGTAAGTGTAGATTCTGAGGTTTACAGGAAGAGTGAATTAATAATGCTCAATAAGCAGGAAGCAGGAGAGATAAGATATATTCAAAGTATGAAAATATGTACAAGTAAATTAATGTTATAGAGTGTAAAAAGAGAGATGTGGTATTAATTTTCTAGCTTCACCCAATTTTAAGGACATTATATGTTTGAGGAGGAATATGTGCTTATCTGATTTCAGCATTGTACCGATTAATACCAGAACTTGGGAGGCAAAAACAGGTGGATTTCTGTGATTTGAGGCCATCCTGGTATACAGAACAAATTCTAGGCCAGCTAAGAATATACAGTGAGATCCTGACTGAAAAAAAATAAGAAAAATAAAACAGTATTTCCCAGATATGCATGTATCAAAATATCACATAGTAAGTACTTCACAAGCGTGTACAGTTTTTAGTAGTATTTATGCATTGGGTATAAATTTAAATTAAAACAACAACAAATTTTTATTAAAATCAGAATAGGACTAAATGAAATATTAGCTGTCACTATTTTGTTTTCATTTCTGCTTATTTTATTTTTATGTTCTGTGTTTGGGTGTTCTGCATTGCCTGCAGAGACCAGAAGAAACATCAGATTCTCTGGAACTAAAGTTACAGACAGTTGTTATCTATCATGTGGGTGCTGAGAACTAAACCTCCTCCATCCTCTGGAAAAACAGCCAGTGCTCTTAACCACGGAGACACCTCTCCAGATCTATTAACCAACACCAAAGACTGATTTCCTAGCTGGGCATGGTGGTGTACACCTTTGATCCTGGCACTCAGTATGCAGCAGGAGGATCTCTTGTGAGTTCCAGGCCAGTCTGGTCTACATAGTGACTTCCAGGACAGCCAGGGCCTACATAGGGAGACTCTATCTCAAAAATCAAAAAACAAAAATATTTATTTTCTTTTAGTGATTTTTGCCATGGAGTTATACCAAAAAAATAAAGGACTTAACATTTTTCCCTAATTTTTCTTTAATAGGATATTTGTCAAATGCAAAAGATATCTACAAAAGCATGTTGGACTCCTGCTTGGATAACATTTGGAGACAGCTGAAAATTTTACAGTTTACTAAGGGGAAAAGGCCTAAAACCAACTATAAGATCGAAGAATTACAATGTCAGATACTAAGCAGGTTGCAAAGTCAACAACAAATTAAGGTTGAGTATTAAGCTAAAGCAGATAAAGTAACTAGTATAAATAAGGGCGGTATAAAATGATTTTATGCATTTAACTTTTAAGTTATAAATAGGCTACATTTGGCCCTTGACAGTTTCCTCCTTAAGGAAGATAACTGTAGTCTGAGATTCGGAGAAAGGGGGATTCATGTCATTATTCATTGCCTTCCAATTTAAAATGCTTTAATTTCTGTTATAAAGTGTTGTCATGGATTGATTCTCCATAGGATTGGTTCTCCCAACATGGTATTTGTATAAGATCATGGAAATTTACATTGTAATATAACTACAATAATTTATTTTTGGGTAGTGACCTAGAATCTCATCTGACATGATATTGTAAAAAATATTTTATGTATTTTTATTTTCTTACCCACCCTACATCAATTATATGAGAGCTGAATTAATGAAGGTTTAAGGCAAAATACCTCTTTAAACCTAATAAAACAAAATACAGCTTGAAACATAATCTAGCAGAAGAGCATGACAAGTGGTCACACTAAATCTAAATACAAATTTATATGGGTTTTCCCTTTTCCACTTCATCACTCCTTTAACTTTATAGTTTGAAAGTCTTGAATGACTTTTGTAAGTCATTAAATTAAATCAATATATGAGAAATTTACCATTGAACCTGATTCTCTGCTCCCCTCCAGAAAAGAAACTGCATGCAGTGAAGGAGAGTGCAGCAGCTACTCCTTTTCTCCAGTAATTTCAGACTTGTGGGGCTGACATTAACAGTAAAAACCAGGATGAGACAACTGGTGTGTAGATATTACAGTCAGGAATGCTGAGGCCCTGACTCAGAACACTTCCCTCAGTGGTATCTGCTGTGACTGGGATTTAGAACAAGGGGATTTACTTTGTAACCTGTGTGTTCCCTTTTTGTTTGTAAGACAGGGTTGTCTTGCAGAAGAGGCTAGTCCTCCTACCCGGGCCTCCTGAGTGCTGGGTTCACCTGGCAACTCTATTCTCGTCTTCATTACTTTTATCTGACCAGTTAAGTTTGCTAGTTTTATCACTAGCAAAACTGTGAAAAAGGCCTTGCATTGGTGGCACATGCCTTTAAACCCAGCACTTAGGAGGCAAAGGTATGTTACGATAAATCTTTCTGCCAAAAGCCGCCTGAGCCCCACCACCACATGTGAGCTTTATGCCAGCCGCCACCCGAGTTAGGCCCAAATGAATACACAGAAACTTGTATTAGGTTCAAAGCTGCTTGGCCAATGACTAGGATTCCTCATCTGTTAGCTCAGTCTTAACTATCATAAATCTATATATTTTATAAGATTTATCTTATTGGATGCCTCATTGGCGTCCCTCCTTGCCGGTGGATCACATTTGCAGCTGGAGCAGGAGCGGAGGGGAAAAGAGGGACGCTTCCTGTTTCTCCTTCACTTAAATATGAGTATCCTTGCTATGTCACTTCCTGCCTGGATCACCACTACTCTACTACATTTCCCAGAATCCTCTTTGACTTCTAGTCCCGTCTAACTTGCTGACTTATTAGCCAAACAGTATTTTATTTAACAATCAATAAGATAAACATACACAGTACATTCCCCATCAGAGGTAGGCAGATCTCTGGGAGTTTGAGGCCAGCCTGGTCTACAGAGCGAGTTCCAGGACAGCCTCCAAAACAATACAGAGAAATCCTGTCTCGAAAAACAAAAAACAAAAAACAAAACAAAACAAAAATAATAATTTACATTTTATAGATTACTCCCTAGTTGCTACATTGATACTAGCTGATTACAACTCAGTTTTATGAACAAAGAAAAAATTCATAAAGATTATGTAGCATACTACATCTTACAGGTAGTAAGTAAGTAACTGAGGAGATTGTATCTAGTCAATTTTCTCATTTCAGTGTATACTTCAGCTCTGCTCACTGATACTCCCCTTGCTAGCCCTTTCTTCTTTGAACTTTGGAACCCATTGCATATATGCAGTTTCTATTATTCTGTAACTTAAACGTGACTTTCTCCCACAAGCCATTTCTTCCTCGGTAGCCCTCGCATATGGAAGCTGAACATTTTCCTTTCAAGTTTTTATTTACTTGTGTGTATGAATGTGAACTCCTACCTACATGATGGAGAGAACCAATGCCTGCAAGTTACTTTCTGACCTACACACACAAACAAACACACTAAATAAATAAGTCAAGAAAGTGCTACATAGTATCAGCACGTGATGCAGAGGTGAGGAAATGATTGAAAGTTGCATCTCTTATCTGGGCTCAAGCTGAGTACCCAGTTGCTTTTGAAACTGTCTTCATTGTCTGCTGACACAAAAATTTTGAATATACAACTGGGAATGTTTGAAGTCTTTCAAACTGACAACTATGCTAGCTGGGCTTTTTTTTTTTTTTTTTAAATCTAGTGAGAGGGGAAAAAAATCTGGTTTCATTTTGCACATGTTTAAAGATCTAGTAAGTCACTCACCATGTCATTAATTGGTTTTTAGGATCATTTAGACTTTAGATGATGCGAGTTACCTTATGATCTATATAAAGAAATAGCACTCGTCCTTATTGCTACCAAACTGTGTTACCAAGTAATATTACACATAATGGTTAGCCATTACTATGCCATTATTACATAATAACTTTGTGATCTTTACAATTTATGGAAGTACACTAATAGATTATAGAAGTAATTTAGACTTAGTTTAACTGTTCTTTAATTAGTTATGTCAACCAAAAATAAGGTAGATGAATATAAGGAAACAATGTTTGAAATTTATATTTTGTTTAAACACTAGTAAGAAATTTAAAGTTGTGAATGGATGGTGCTCAACAAGTTCTCTTTCTTATACTGACAGTAAACAAATGCAAACACATGCTTGTTCATATCACATTGAAATACACTCCCTTGCTGAGTTTGTTATGCACTTATTTTTTGGCTAGAGAAAAAATAAGAATCTACTATTATTTGGGACAAAATAAGATTAAATGTGCAACTAATGAGTGTTTAATATGGCTGTTTTAAAATGAAATGTTGACTGTTTTTGTTGGCATAAAAACTTTAGATGGACATGATCTTTGTGTATACACACCAGAAAAATTGTTTATATTATAAGCTTTCTAGTAAACTAGACTTAGAAATGTAATCTGGAAAATCTTATTTCAAGTAATTTCCTTTCTTACAGAATTTCAGTTCATTTTTATGGGAATGAAATGTGTGACACTGGCAAAAAAATTATAATTTTTTTTTAAATCTTGTTGAAAGAAAACTCCCTTTTCCCCCAACAGGCTTAACATTGACTGTTTTACGTTCAAATGAGAGAAAAGATTTTCTGGAAACTACTGGTGTTTTAAAAGGGTAAGATTGTATTCTTTTAATCTATAGCATAGTTCCACAGGAAAGGGAGAGCTCCCTGTGAAGTTGGGGCTGTGCTGTAGCTCAGTGTGGGGGTGCTCACAGGCCAGGAGTGAGCCCTTGGACTTGATCCCTATCCCTTGAGAAGGTGATCCTCTTAGAGTTCTGTTTAAGAGAATCTGAAGTCTATGGCTTTATTCTGCTTGTGAAAAATGCCTTAGAACACTTTAACTCTCAACATAGGCATGCCTATTTAATAAAATTAGCATCCATGAATTTAGTTCAGTCATATTTTAATATTCCCAAATTATCATCATCATTGTTGTTAGAATAGAATTAGAAATACTACCGGGCAGTGGTGGCACGCATCTTTAACCCCAGAATTGGGGAGGCAGAAGTAGGCAGATGTTTGAATTCAAGGCCAGTCTGGTCTGCAGATGAGTTCTAGGGCAACCAGGACTACAAGAGAAACCCTGTCTCAAAAAAAAAAAAAAAAAAAAAAAAAAAAAAAAAAAAAAAAAAAAAAAGGAAAGAAATACCTTTTAAAACATTGTTTTCTTCAGTTTTTTGGATTGTTATATCTCCTTCCTTTCTTCCTGGGGAGGGTCTGCTAATAAATAATAAAACTAGTATTGGATTGATTTTTGTTTGGTTGGTTGATTGCTTTTATGAGACAGGGTTTCTCTGTTTAACAGCCCTGGCTGTCTGTCCTGGAACTCACTCTGTAGACCAGGCTGGCCTCAAGCTCACAGAGATCTTCCTGCCTCTGCCTTCTGAGTGCTGGGGTTAAAGGTATGTGCCACCTTTATTTTGTCTTATTTCACCTAGATATTATTTCTAATATTGGAATACAGATAATGAAAAGAAATATAAATAAAATAGAAGCCCATAAGAACTAGGTATAAACATTTTAAACTTCTGGATTAATCCAGATAGAAAGGAGTAGTGGAGGGTTTTAATTACAGTGGGTGCTGTATTACATGAAGATGATGAGAAGGAAACACTTACACAACTGTGTCATCATTTCTTTTTTTTCTTTTTTCTTTTTCTTTCTTTTCTTTTCTTTTTTTTTCCAGGCAGGGCTTCTCTGTATTGCTTTGGAGGTTGTCCTGGAACTCTCTCTCTCTGTGTAGACCAGGCTGGCCTGGAACTCACAGAGTTCAGCCTGCCTCTGCCTCCCGAGTGCTGGGATTAAAGGGGTGTGCCTACCAACACCTGGCTCTTTTTTTCCCCCCTGTATGTGTCCATCATTTCTTGTTTTCATTCAACACTTATGAAGCCCATTGAGAAGAAACAACTCTATCTGACAGTTGTCAGAAAATACCCTACTATGTAGATTCTCAAAACTAAGACTTTACATTGGTGAGGTGAGGCAGTTTTTTATGTTGATATCTACTATTGATGATACTCGGATAATAAAATCAGAGTTACATTATGAGCAGATGAAATTTTGTATGTTCTGGTATGTTTTAAAGTATGATATCCAAGAGAAAGATAAACTGAAGCTGGATGGTGGTGCACACTTTTAATCCCAGCACTAAGGAGGCAGAGACATTTGAGGCCAGCCTGGTATACATAGTGAATTCCAGACAGCAGGGCTACATGGAGAGACTGTCTGAAAAAGTATAAACGAAACAAAACAACAGCAAAAGAAAGATAAAATTCGATTAACATAGTCAGAAGCGTTGAGCAAAAAGCGTTCCAGTGCTTTTCCAGTTGAATAGGTGAGGTCAGGAGAGCACAGGAAGCCATCTTTACTGCTCGGCTAAAGAATGACAAGTGTACTTCCATGTCTTGTCCTGCTTTTGTCTTCAGTGCAAGTTCCTGTGTGGTTGTGCATAATCACAGTATCGGAGCAGATTTTCCCTGGAGCAGCTTCTCACTGGTGGTAGAGTACAATCACGTGGGACACTCTTGCTGGCCTAAGCACTGCCAGCAGTTGAACGTTCCTTTCCTGGCCTTTAAAGTCGTTCTTCCAGACACAGCTCTGAAAAGTAAGGAGATAAGCCAGTGTCCTGCTCTCCAGTAGAGGAGAATTGTTCTGTTTGAAGAAATACTTTTCTTTGTTAGGATTTCTATTTATAGAATAAACATTGCATTTATATAGTTTCTTTAACATACTACTGTTTAATAAAAAAGAGAAAGGTGTGGTAGAAGAAAATATAAACATTTATAATTCTCTTATTTAGGAAACACCTTGCTGGATAGATTTGGTGGGTTTCTCTTGGAAATTCAGATCCCATACATATTTTTTGCATCTGAAGGATTGCTTAATACCCCAGAAATACTCCGGCTGCTGGAATCTGAGTAAGCCACACTTTTTAGTTGTTGGTCTCAGCAACTTCAGTATGTGTATGTGTGTGTCCTGATTAGTAAATACGATATGCATGCTATCCCTTATCTTCCTAATCCAAGACTAGAATATTACAAGAACTTCTTTCCAAAGAGCATATCAATTTATATTTCCAGTCCCTAAAGTACAACTATTGAATAATATCTTTTATAATACTAATTTTATGGACAAAATGAAATTTAATTTTTCTTTAATTTGCATTTTATTTAAATTTCTCTTGTTACCAGCACTAAAAATATCTTGTGTGTTCTTTTTTTGGGAATTACATGTTCAGACATTTGAACCATTTGCAATATTTATAATGAGAATTTTTGCTTAAAAACAGCATGGAAAACAGGACTGTGAAGTTCTAGATGAATGGTTTTGTTTTCAGATCATTAGTTTTAAGGTTATACCAACATTGAGTGTTTTAAATTAAAAAATACTGTATCATAGTACACAGGAATATTGAGGTGAACATCAATGGAGGAAAACTGAGTTATTACTTCAGATAAAATCCAAGTCAATATTCCCAGCACCCAGGTTGGGTAGCTCATAAACACCTGTAACTCCAGAGGTGACCCAGGGAATCCGATGCCCTGTCCTGGCCTCCATGGGCAGTGGAATGCACATGCACTCACACATACACGTGCATACACATACATAAAAATTAAAACTAAATCTTTAAACAAACAAAATTTAAAAAGAGATGAACACAATTCAAGGAGAAACCAATAGAAAGTACACCAGAGGCCTTCCAAGCTGAGCAGGTACAGATTAGAGAAGTGTCTGGTTTCTTTCATATACTGAATGAATTTCCTTTCCCAAATTTAAAGAGTAAGTTGATTTATGGGGAAAAAACCCCACAAAACCCAGAAGGACAGCACAATACTCTGAAGAGCGTTCTTAGCCATAGCTTTATTTTCACTGGAGAATATTGTCTTTCACAGCTATAATATCACACTAGTGGAGAGATGCTGCTGTGAGTCACTGAAACTCTTCGGGAGCACAGAGTGTTATGTAGTGGTCACAATCGATGAGCAGACTGCTGTAGTTGTGCAGGTAAAACTGTGTAATAACAAATAAAAACTCAGGTGGGAAGTGAATCTGGGAGGGCCAGCATGAGGAGTAAAAAACAATACATTCAAAGGTATGAAATTATCACATTAATAAAATATATTAAAATTAGAAAGTCAAGCATATTAAAATAATACCATTGTGTGATTTCTTTTTTATATGGAGCTTAACTACAATCTGTGATCTCTTCTAAATTTTGCAAATGGGCACAGTGCTAATTACCACCATGGAAAATGGCTATCAATCTTTCTGGATACCATATACATTTTAACATACTTAAGGAAGATAAAGACAAGTCAAGCAAAGTAGTGTATATCTGCAACCCTGAAATTTAGAAGACTAAGACAGGATTGCAAGTTTAATACCAACCTGAGTTATATGGCAAGAACCTAACTCAAAACAAACAAAATGATAAAATAAGTAAAGAATCTTTAGCATTGTATATTGGCCTATTTTTAAATTACCTATAGAAAAATTAGTGTAGGAAGTTTAAAAAAAATAAATACTCAGAGCTAGGGTTAATAGACTGCTTGGCTAGCATGCACAAAGCTCCAAGTGTGATCACCAGCTGTACAAACAAAACAAGATAAAGAAAACCAAGAATCAGCCACTCTTTCGTATAAGAAAGTATGGCATAATTGTATATGGCTAGGTAGTCCATTCATTACTTCTTTTTTATTTTATGTGTATATGTGTGTGATTGTGTGAGTTTATGTGCACCACATGCACACAGGTGCTCAAGGATTCCTGGATTGGAATTAGAGGCGACTTTAAACTGCCCAATCTGAGTGCTGGAAACAGAACAGATCTAGGCTCTCTGTGAGAGGAGTGAGTGGTCGTAACTGCGGAGCCATCTTTCCAGCCCCCAAAAAGTATAATACTAATTGATGGTTAAAAATGTGGAATTTTCTCTAAGGCAAATAGGGATTACTTAAAATTTGTTTTTTAAAGAGAGACTCTCCAAAAATACATAGAATTTGGACCTGCCTCCTCACCTGCAGTACTGCCACCCAGCTGGGTACCCAAACCACAGCTGCTGACACATTAACTTAGGACAGTGAGACTCATAAATTTGTTAAAATACATAATTTGGAAGTTAAGATGTATAAATTCTTGGAAGAGACTTCTTTTATGTTTGCTTGACTGACGTACCAGTTGCAGAGAAATGGAGATTGGAGATCAAGTTTGATAATACAAAATATAAAATATTGGTAAATGTGGTGAGGTCTGATTTGATGAGCAAAAATTACTATATAAGAATTTTAAAGTGGAAAAGTTCAAGTACTGGATCCTTAAAGAGACAGTGTTTCCTTAATATTTAAAGTTCTTAATTATTTGTTGACTTGGAAAAACTGTCTTAATCCACAGTTATAGAACTTCTGTTAGAAGGAGGGCATGTCTTAAATGCCCTTTATTAAATGTCCTATTGAACTTTAATTATTGAAGAAAAGGGAGAATCTAGACCATTGAGGGACCCTGGAAGTCTACCAAGCCTACCCTTTTAACCTGCAGTGCAGGCTCCAGGGCTTGAATCAGGTCACAGTGCTCACATGGCAAGTGCTCTTACAGTTGCACCATCAACAGGTTATCCCACAGGTTTTTAAATGTACTTTCTGTTGCCTTGGAGTAGCCAGAGCCCAGCCCAGGCACTTTATCAGCACAGGAGCACTAATTTGGCCATTTTATTGATATCTTGGGCTGTGGAATACTCACGAGGCTTCCTGGTAGATGCTATCACTAGTTTCTTATTTTATGTATACTGCAGCTTTCCTCCAGTTTCTGGATGATTTTCACTTTTACATTAAACCATACCCATGCCTCTTAAGTTACCATTTATATACTAGACTATTGAAATTGTTAAACAGTAGTCAACCTGATGTATCTTTCTGTTTTCTTCATTTTTATAGGACCTAGGAGAATTATATTATGAGAAGGCATCAGACAATATCATTATGAGATTAATGGCATTGTCATTCCAGTATAGCTGTTGTTGGATAATACTATATCCCAAGGCAACATTAAATTCAGAGTAGGTAAACATTTCTTCCTCCAAAGTCATGATCATAGTATTCTTCAGTCCTCTTTACACACCAATGTTCGTCTAGTGCGCTTTAAGTGAGGGAGTTCTGGGGATGGAGTCAGGACACTGAAAAAAAAACTCTGGAGATGACACATGTTGTCCTGGACATTCTGTTCAGATCATCCCCTCTTACCCCCTCTCATTAAGAGTTATTATTTTATTTTCTTGATTTCTTTGGAATCCTGGGCTTGTTTGCTAAAAGATAAATCATTTTAAACCACTTCTAAAATCATGTTAATACACTGAATTCATAACTGTTTTGTTATATTTATGTCATTGATGGGCTTAACCAAAACATTAGAAAATGCCATGGCCAGACAACGGCTTGAGTCATCACTGTATTTTTCCTTTCCTTTACTGATAAACATAATAAACATTTCTTCGTTATCCTCCGCCAGCCAGCTTTTCTCTCTCAGGACCATCAACAGTGCTTTTTATCTTGCACTGCTACGAAGTGTCTCAGACCATTGCAGTGGTCTGTTGCTATAAACTCCCCAGTTCCGTGACACTCCCATGCCTTTGATTGTCCACCTTTCTAAGTACTTTCCCCTGACTGGATATCTTCTTTGTGTCAGTCTCTGAATATATTTGTTTTGAGTTCACTTTCTCTCCTGTTCTATTCATTATTCATCTTATCTACTACAGCTTTGTCAGTATCTGTTGGTATATAATGATTTTGTTTCTTTCTGCAGCTGCAGTCTTTCTTGAAAATTCCTGGAACAAATCTCCAAATATTTACTAAATATTTCCACTCTCATATTCCATAGTCTCTCAAGTTAACATGTTCAGATATGAACTGACTGTATGGTCTCTGTCCCCTCCAAACCTGTATTTCTGCTTATCTGCCTTTTAGGAATTTTTGGCATTATCTTCTATCCATCTAGCCTGCATTTATATTACCAATACCCTAACTCAGATTCTCACTGTTTCCTGTGGATTGTTTCACTACCTGTTAGAGTTGTGCTTAAATTAAAGGCATGCTCTATGGAACATGAACCATGGAGAACATGGATGGGAGGAAGAGGGGCAGAGAGAGCGTAAATGGGCAGGGGTCTGTCTTTTAAAGGGGTCCTCTACACCTGCGTGCAGACATAGTTCCCATGGAACCCTGGGCTGACCAGGGTACTGCCTGAGTGGATTCTGCCAAGTATTAGGGGCAGGCCAGCATAATGTCTGAACCTTTCAATCCCACCTTTACTTATTATTTTTTTTAAAAAATGGTGGGGTGTTAGACATGGCAGATTAAGGAATGAGGGCATTGAATTCTCAAGACTGCTTCCTGCTGATGTGGGGGGTGTTGACTATCTTTGGGGAACCTGAGAAGGTTGGGGTGCTGACATGTCCTGAGGTGGCTGGTTGTTTCATCTCAGTCCAGGCTGTATGGAACTCCCTGGAGCCTCTTAGACCTGGCAATATGTTGGCAGAGCAGAGGACAAGGTTAAGTTTAGAAAAAAATTTTTCTTAGGTCCTTGAGGAGAAGATTGTAAGATGAGGGAAGGGTTCAGAAGGGTTCCCCAGGGGTCCCAACATGAGGGAAGGGAGTCCTGGGACCAGGGAAAGACTGAATAATATTTATTTGGAGTGAATCTGACCTGTTTTTTTGGATCCAATTCAGTTCCCTGGAACTCACAAGAATCCTTAGAGTTTGTGAAAACATAAGTATTAGGCACATTAGCAGCATATTCATGTTAGAAGCAATTTGGCTGAAAGGACAGATATTTTTTAGGACAATGAAAAGCACCTTAATCTTAACCTTGTAGTTATGATTGTATAGTGGTATTGTAGAACTTTACTGACTGAACAGTAGCATGAGAAATAGACAAATCCAGAACATATTTCATTCTTTTTAATGTCTCAACTCACTTTATCATTACTTAAGTCTTTTTAAATCCTCAGACCTTCATAACTTTAATCCATACAACTTATATTACCATCTTAGACTTTCCATTCTCAGCCCTTCATAACTTGCATTTATCCACCTTGTTAGACCTTTCCATCCTCAGACCTTTGTCCTAGACCTTCCATCCTCAGACCTTTATACCTTATATTCCCAGACCTTCATACACCTTACGCTTTACTATCTTCACATAGATAAACCCTAAAATACCTGTTCCTGAAATCTGTTTTGCTTTAAGCTGGCAAGACTACCAGTTGTCAAAAGCATCGGAGTTCTTGAGAAGGATAAGATTTTACCTGAATTAATGATTAAAGGATAACAGAGAGCTGCCAGCAGGCTGCATGGACACTCACCCCCAAGGTCCTCCATCCATGTTTTCGGGCTGCAGGACACCTGCCTTCTTGCTGACAACATGTGACCTGTGGATTAGGGACTATAGGAAGACTCGCCTACCATTGACCCAAGCAATGCAGGGAAAATCGATTCTACTGTCCTCTTGTCCATAGTCTGGAGCACTTTGTAGCAGTTGAGGTGAAGAGCAGGGTTGCTCAGTGGCTACCATTGCCATTGACTTGAGATGAAATTTCTTCAGTGCCCGCCAGTCTTCTTGGAGGAAATGGGGTGGGGCCATCAGCTGGCCTATCTCTCTGTTATGAAACATTACACATATACACACACACAATACACAAACAGACACACACACACACACACACACACACACACACACACACACAGAGGCATGCACACATGTGTAAGTCTTTACTGAGTTCCTAGTTACCTACTGAGTACAATACAAACTGTGACCCCTATGTGTGAGGTGTCAGGCATATGACCCTCCTGTATTTTCAGGCTGTTTCTTCACTGCCTTCCAGTTTAGCCAGGTGCTTCCTACTGCCACCCATTTCTTTTCTATGTCTTCAACCGTTTCCTCTAGTGAAACTACACTCATTTTTTTCAGTCCCAGGTACTGTGTTATCTATTCCCTCTTCCTACTCCTTATTCATACCTTTCCATCCTGTGAACTGCTTAGCTCTCTGTTTCTTCTTCTATGTTTTGATTTTTTGGAGTACACACTACTTTTGTGTGGTAGATGCCCAATAATTGTTCATCGATTGAGTCAGCCTTTCCTACCAAATTGCTAACCAGTTTGACTCACTTTTATTCCTGTAATACCACTTCCCACCTAACTCAACAGCAGAATTTATATATTCTTCAAATTGGTTGTTAAAGAAGTATCAATATATTTGACATTGTCTGCGATTTTTTTCACTTTCTTGGCACCACTCTTATTTAGCAGTTTACTGAACTCTTCCTATATAAATATTATCTTGTAAGGACAAATACAAACTGGAGTCTAAGAGTCTAAACATCTTGGCTCTTAACTCCTTTTCTATTAACAAATAGTCCCAGCAAGTCCTTTAACATAGCTAGCCCTTTCCACCTGGCTACAAAATAAAAACTGTGGTTCCTGCTTTACTGCCCTCACTTTGAAGATTAATAAGACGTATAAAACACTTCAAGCTTGGTGTCTACTTATAAATCATGTTAAGCTTTATCCAAAGCCTGGCACTTTTTTAGATAAATTACTTATTTGGAAGTTTTCTAAGGTTGTTTTCAATTGCCAGTTATCTATAGTTTTTGGTTCAATTGAAATACAGGGGAGAATAGCAAAAAATCCCAACTTATTTTTGCCTATCATATAATATTCTGAGATATTTTTATTTTTATCAGAATATACAGTGTGATCATTTATTTGTGACATCATGAATATAATTATTTTCAGAATTCAGAGTTTCATAGTTCTGTTTTATTAGGTAATTGTAACTTTTTGTTTTGCTTTGTTTTTTGTTTTTCAAGACAGGGTTTCTCTGTGTAGCCCTGGAACTCTTTGTAGACCAGGCTGACCTTGAACTCACAGAAATCTACCCACCCTGAATAGGGCACCAACGACAAAGCAAGGATACCACTACAGTCCAACTTGGTGAACCAATGAATTTACTGGTGTTACTTTCAGGAGTGTGGGTGAAGGGTTAACCAGGAGCAGAAATGACTCAATTAGAAAGAACATGAATGACCAAAAGCCCACCCCAGTATGAGTGATGTCTCACCGAAGCTACAAACCTGTACCTCACTGCACAACTTGACAGTCTGCAGAATGTTCTTTCTAGGCAGATCAGCAGGAAGAGGCTCGGACCACCCACACTGCCTGGAGGAGATAAATCAGCCAAGCTGTCTGGAAAAAGCAGAGACCAGGGAAGCTGCCTGGAGAGGCTCAGACCAACTGAACTGTCTTGGGGAAAAGTGCCCCAACCATATGAGCTGTCTACAAATTGTGCAGTGAGCTCCAGGTTTCCAGCATCTGTGAGCTGTCACCTATGTTGGGGTGGGCTTTTGTGGTGCAGCTGTCTTCCAATCATTTCTGCTCCTATTAGTAACCACAGTAAAACACATAGTTCACCAAGTTGGACTTCGGTGGTTACCTTACTTTGGTCTGTCATTGATTCCCTATTTGGGATGGATAGAGGCCTATTCACATCTTCCCAGGAATAGTGTTAGACCACACAGAGGAAGAAGCTGACACACAGGACAGAAAGAGCCAAGAGATGCCTATTAGAGAAGAACACATGCTTGGAGTCCTTAGTAATAGACTGGTAGTCTCCTCCCTGCTGCCTAGAATATATAAACTGGGTAGGTAACAGTAGAAGTAGCCACTCACAAGTCAACATTCACATCTGACCCAGTCACTAACAATAGGAAAGAAGAGTGCTTCTTCTAATATAGCAGCTCATGAAAGAAGGTAGGTGTACTGGTAATAGGTATCCTATTCCCTTGACCCAGAGATGAGTATTCTATGTGTCTAACTTTAGTTCATACAGTCAATCCTGGAGGTAAGAGAGGAGTGAGCCAGATTTTCTCCTCATCCATCGTCTCCTAAACACACCCCAGCATCCCTAGATTTAATAGTGTGGTTAGAGACAGGAGGTGGAAATGTCCTTTCCAGAGAGGGTAAAGTAAGTGCAAGGAGAGGTGGGACATGCCTGCATCAAAATGTCTCATGAGTAAACATGTAATAATGTCACTCTTAGGTACCATCTCACAGAGAAGACACTTCATCACCTCTCACAGATTTATGCAGCTTTAGCTTCCTCTGGTCTTAAATCTGAAGAACTGGATGTAAAGGTATTATTTTCCTATATATTCATAAGTATTGTTCATAAATTAAAATTAGACTTGAACTCAAGTGCCCAGTATGAAGAAACATTATGCAGACACAATTCCTTAAGAGTCAATAAAGATCAGGGTCAAATTATTAAATACACACACACCTCCACACTTCTGTAAACCTTTTATGTGTGTTACATAAACACACACATAAAATACACACAAAATAAATATATGACAAGAACTTAAAGCGCGACATGATGCACATGCCTGTTATCTTGGCACTCAAGAGGCTGAGATGCAAAGTTCATGAGTTCAAAGCCAGTTAGGGAGCTATATTGTGAGACTATCTCAAAAAACCAAAATGACAATGAATGTTTTTAGTTAATTTAAAATCAAGCCATAGTTAGAACTTTTAAAAACCATGTCAGGAGATGGCAAAATAAAAGTTCTTTGATCAAAAGGTGCTCTTCATGAAAGATGTATTGAGTTTTTATCTGCTGCAGAATGGAAATCTCAAGACGTTTTGGTAGGGTAACGTGTACTGGTGATCTCCGGTCTCCTTGCTTGGCCATAAGGCATTTGTCTAAATTCAGGGTTCATTACATTTTTGTTGTCATTTCATTTCTTTCATTTAAGAACTCAGACATTGCCACAGCCTTGCTGTAGTTTCTGAGTACTGTTCTTAAAATCCTTTTGACAGTTAAGATTTGCACCTGTATTCTAGCAACCGGTTGGAGATCTCCACACGAATATCCTGCAAATACCTCAGACTCTGCATGTCCATATGAAACTCCCCTACTCCCCCCAAGCTTGATTTGTGGCATCACTGTTTGGTGACACGGTCGTCTTTGTAGAGCTGCAGTATCTCTGGGATAAGTCTCCTTCCCCTGCCAGCATCACTTCTCGTGCATGTTTTTCAAATGCTTTCCTAACCACCTGTTCCATCCTATGTTGACACCAATTCCATTGTAAGATGCATCTGTGAAAGCCCACTCCCTACACAGTGCACTTCTGGAGGTGAGCGAGCTTGTCTGTTCAAGTCTGTATTCTGGGCACTCAGCACAATGCCAAGTAGAAGGCTATTGGCAAATATTCACGGTTATGTTTTCTTGCTGTCTGCTTTGCTTCTCTGATCTTTCAGCCCCTCCCCCAATATCTGACTCCAGGTTTTTAGTATTAAGAAAATTTGTACAACATCATGATACATACTACTCACAAAAGTAAAATTCTTAGAAAAGTTACCTTTAAATAAATGAATGGCAAATGTAAATGTGTCTTGTTTATTCAAATGAGGATTCATTGCTTGGTCAGCCTCTTCTGAGCATGTAGCAAACAGTTATATGTAAAATGTATCAGTAAAGTGGCACTATGTTCAGATACAGGGACATGGTCCACAGCAGAGAGGGTATGCCCTAAGGAAGACATTTGAGGAGAAAATAAGAGTATTCTGCAGGCAGTTCATTCCAAACAAAAGTCTGCTTCCACCCAGATGCTTTTCAAGTCCATCCTATGAAGTAGTCCAGTTTTGTTTGTCTTACTCTGTTAGTATGTCATTAGTATGCTTATGTATGTCATTATTCTGACTTGATGTCATTATTAAAATAGGCTTGAGGAAGACAGGGATGTAGGTTGGTGGGTAGAGTGCCTGCATAGCATTCACAAGGCCATGGGTTCAGTCTCCAGTACCACATAAAACTGGATGTGGCCATGCATGTAACACCACTGCACTTGGGTCAGTGAAGCAGAAGGATCAGAAGTTCAAGGTTCTCTTTGGCCGCATAAGGAGTTCAAGGATAGCTTGGACTACATGAGACCCTGACTCAAAACCAGAAATAACTAGGGGCTCCTAAACCCATATGTATATGTAGGCACTAGAATGTATTTCTCCTTTATTTAGTTATCATGGCTTTTGTCACTTAGAGAACATCAGTATATTATTAGCACTTTTTTTGTTTCCAGCCATCTTAGCCATAAAAGAAGTCTAAGGATGACATTCCCTTAAATTAAAAGAAGGCATTGGTAGTGTTATCTAAATATTATCTTTTCCATTTGTTAATCTTTCTTTTTTCTTACAGTACTGGTGAGCCAGTTCAAAGCGTTGTGTGTGGTAGACAAGCAAGCATATAGCACTTAGCAATAATCTTAACCTTCTAATTTTAAAACATTTCTATGAATTTCTTGTGAACTCTCTTTGTAGATGATATGAAATATATACATACACAAATTCAGAAATAAGGCCTCTTGATCCTCTTAGTCTAAGCATGAACCCAAGAATTCTTGTCATCATCAATTACTGCAATACTCATTACCATCATCATAAAACTTTGCCTTTTAAACTAAAGTTCCATTTAACTGAGGTTTCATCTCTTCCTGAAAGCATCTTAAACTAACAATGAAATAAAGGTGTGATTAAACAGATAATCTCTATACTCTGTGCATATATTTGTATAAACTTTGAAAAATTCTCTTTTCCAATATATACATTCCAAAAAGGATGTACTAACAGTTTTGTATTTAATATTTTTAAGATTTATTTGTTTTTATGTGCATTGGTGTTTTGCCTTCATGTATGTCTATGTGAGAGTATCTGGACCTTCTGGAACTGTAGTTAAAGATAGTTGTGAGCTGCCATATGGGTGCTGGGAATTGAACCCAGAACCTCCAGAAGAGCAACTAGTACTCTTAACCCCGAGCCATCTCTCTAGACCTGTACTTAATGTTTTGAAAGAAACTAGCTCATACTTATTTTGTGAATTTTTTACCCCTTTATTGTGTATAAGACTCAAACCTAAAGTGTTATGTACCCCAGTACAGGCTCTTCACCTAAGCTGTGTCTCCAGCCTATGCTGTTTTGAATTCCCATTAAACACAAGATTCTTATTTTATTCCCCTGTGTGGGCTCTGGATGTGGCAAGTCTTTTTCTGTCCCTCCAGCCAGCTCCAAAATGATGACATAGAGACTTACTATTAACTATGAAAGCTTGGACTATAGCTCAGGCTTGTTCCTAACTAGCTCTTATAACTTAAATGAACCTGTTTATATTAATCAACATTCTATGATGTGTCATTACCTCTCTTCCATCTTGTATTACCTGTTTCCTCTCCATGTCCCTGGTGTCTCTGTCCTTCTTTCTAGAGTCCTCTCTGTCCCTGGAAATCCTGCCTAACTCTTCCTAGCTACTGGCCATTCGGCTTATTACACCAATCACAGTAATACATTTTCACACAGTGTACAAATATCCCACAACACTCTAGCTCTGTTGCCAGACTACTCCCAGGATTACAGATGCAGGAACCGAAGTTACAGTTGGTTATAAGCTGCTATGTGAGTGTTGGAACTATATCTGTCCTCTGCAAGAACAACTATTCTAAACCACTGAGCAATCCCTCCAGCTCAGAAATTACACACACACACACACACACACACACACACACACACACACACACACACACACACACACAATTTTGGCAAGAATATCTTAGAATCAAATAAGCTAAGAATAAATGAACGATTACCAACTAGAATGACTACTCAAAATCAAAACATTTTAAAATTTATTTAGTCATTAACTTTTGAGAATTCTATATATGAATAGAATATATTTTAATCCTATTCATCTCCTATTCTCCCCCCTAACTTCTGAGATATACCTCCTCACCTCTCCAAAATTCATGTCTTTTTTTTAATAGCCCACCAAATCTAATTTGTGTTGTTCATATATTCAGTCACATCCAGTAAGAGCATGGTTGACCTAGTGGAGACTAGATTTCTTTTTTAAAAAATTTAAATTAGAAACAAGCTTGTTTTGAATGGCAATACCAGTTCCCTCTCCCTCCCCTCTTCCCCTGCCCCCCACCTACTCCCCTATCTTTCCCCCTTTCTATTCTCCAGGGAGGATGAAACCTTCCATGGGGGATCTTCAGAGTCATATCATTTGGGTCAGGGCCTAGGCTCTCCCTGGTGTGTCTGGGCTGAGAGAATATCCCTCTCTGTGGAATGGGCTCCCCAAGTCCATTCTTTTGCTAGGGATAAATACTGATCTACTACCAGATGATGGGGAAGGTCCTTCTGTGTATATGTTTATCTTATTGGTTGTTGAATAAAAGTACTGTTGGCCAATAGGAAAGCAAGATAGTTGGGACTATGAGTCAAGGAGGATTCTGAGGAATGTAGTAAAAAGAAATCTTGTGATACAGACAGGAAGTGACATAGCAGGCAGACTCATATATAAGCAAGGACAAGAAGGAAGCTGTTTTCTTGCTCTTCCTCTTGCTCTCTGCTCTGGAGCCACCATGTGATCCCAGTGAGAGAAGATGCCTGTCGCTGGCATCTGTTAAGATAAGTCTTATAAAATATAGAGACTATGGTTATGGTTGATAATTAAGACTGAACTAGCAAGTAATCAATTGGCCAGCAGCACTGTAAACTAATATGAGACTCTATGTGTTATTCATCCACGTGGCAGATGAAAGGGACTTGGAAGCTGGCAGTCTCTGGGTGGGCTGGACCACTGAGACAGGATCCCCAGTGCGCACAGAGACTAGATTCTTAAAGAAAACTAGTTCTCCCTCCCTGAGAAACATGGGTCATCATAGCAACTCAGCTAGGGGTGGGACTTGCAAGCCCCTCTCTGCCCAGGATAGAATGTGGACTAGACTAGCTTGATCTTGCTCAGGCAACAACAGCTGCTGTATTTATGAGTTCAGCAGCCCTGTTGTGTCCAGGAGATGCTGTGCTGTCCAGTCTCTCCTGTCCTCTGGCTTTTTGGTCTTTTTACACCCTCTTCGTCTGAGTCCTGAGCCCTTGGGTGGGAGTGTGACATAAATGTCCCATTTGTGACTGAGCACTCCCAAGACACTGATTTTCTACACTTTGACCAGTTTTAAGTTTCTGTGTTAACCACTGTCCACTGCACAAAGAAACCTGAGGAGGTCTGAGAGCTGCACTGATCTATGGGTAGAGAGACATGATTGTAGAGGGCAGTTTGATATTACATCCAGTTAGCAAAATAATAATAGGTTCACCCTGGAGCCCATGATTTCCCCAGCCATGGACCTTTGTCGATTTACAGTACCAGGTATGCACCTGTAATCAGAGCTTAAGTCTTATTTTTTAAGATTTATTTATTTATTATGTATATAATGTTCTATCTGAATGTACCCCAACAGACCAGAAGAGGGCACCAGATCTCATCACAGATGGTTGTGAGCCATTATGTGGTTGCTGGGAATTGAACTCAAGACCTGTGGAAGACCAACGAGTGTTCTTAACCACTGAGTCATCTCTCCAGCCCCGCTTATGTCTTATTTTAATACAATATCAAAATTAATTTATAAGTATCTTTCATGTTTGGTTTTGAAAACTATTACTCTGTTTTTTATTCATATTTTCATTTGATAACTAATAGAAAAAGCAAAATATTAAATATTACCAGTGATTTTCAAATTGCTCTTCTGTAAGTGAAATATAACACTAAATAATTTTTAAAAGACGTTATAAGTAAATGCCAAATAAAGTGAAGAAAAATGGATTCCAATAATTAGAAAATAGGGTACAATATTGAAAGTGGTGGCATACTCCTTTAATCCTAACATTCAGGAGGCAGTGGCAGGGGGTTCTCTGTAGGTTTGAAACCAACCTGGTCTACATAGCAAGTTTCAGGATAGCCAGGGCTATATAAAGAGACTTGTCTGAGAAATAAAAGAAAGAAAGAAGGAAGGAAGGAAAGAAGGAAAGAAGATAGGAAGGAAACTGGTTATCCTCACAAATGAAAGATCTTGTGTTTCAAATACTAATAAATTATATGAGATTATTATTTAAAAAATCACTTAGATTTTTTCCTTTATCTCAAACTATTTCTAAATGACATATCTTACTTCCTAATATTCTCTCCTACAATCTAACATACTTTTTTTTTTTAGCTTATAATTGCTCCAGGAGTAGAAGAGACTGCTTTAATAATTCGACAAATCGCAGACCACAATTTAATGACATCGAAGAGAGATCCTCATGAGTGGTTGGATAAATCCTGGGTTGAAGTTTCACCATCTCAGGTTACTTTTTCTAAATGTATAAATTAGACATCTGTGAGACAAACAAATATGAATACCTGAATTCCCTTCCTGAGAGCCTATTTTTCCATGCATCCCAAATTGTTATAAATTCAGTGACAACATTTTAATCTGTAGACTAAAATAGGTTCCTCTCAAAAGACCACTGCCTGAGGAGACGCCACACTGTTTTCTAGGAAGAGATGAACCTACTTGATTTCCCATGTATTAACCCACTGGTGGCTCAGCTCATGTTACACAGAGCTCCTTCTCTGCACTGGCTGCTGACAGCATCGCACACTGATCTTCAGGGACTCCTACCCCAGGTTCCAGACAAAGTACTGAAGGTGAGAGTCAGAGAGCACAGGCTCTTGTGCATTCCCCCTTCCCACTGCAGTTACCTCTGTGAACCACAGGCTTTCTAATGACGGTGTCCAGCTTTGTTTTGGACATCTCATAGGAAAGAAATAATTTACTTGAACCAACTTTCATATGGAATTGCCATTAGCTGTCAATCACATTATACATTTTAAAGCTATCATTGATGATTCAGTACAGTTTATCATATTTTAAGGCATTTTGATATATCATTGTATTCATAAATATTCAATTAATATGTGTTTACATATTACATATTCCAAAAAGCCTGATGTCTTTTCCATTGGGAAGAGAGTTTTAGCTTTATTGCTATTTTTAAGTTCTTTTCAAGGAATAATATTCATGTGTAATTTGTATAACTAAAATAAAATCCATTGTATCTGTTGTGAACCTAAGCCATCTCTAAAAACAGTCTGTTAAAATTCCATTGCAAGCTGCTAGGAAATAGATGCAAATTACAAATTCTCTTTTAATGGTATTTAATCATTTTTTATGTTAGTTTGTGGCTCAATGTAGTATCTATGAATTTAGCTAGGCATCATTTTATTTTCTAGTCTGTATTCTAGTAAACTGTTATTTTTTATTTTTTAGCATTTTTGTAGCATCACTTCCTTGTTCAAGATTAGTTCTTCCTCCATGACAAAGTCACCTCGAATTTCATCACTTCAGGAAGATATGAATCGAAGTCGACCCTTTATTTCTCAGAGTCTGGCTGCTGTTATTCAAGAACATGATGGATATTGTTCCTATGGAGACTCTGAAGAAGCAGTGCTGGAAGGCACAAGCTCTTCTCTTCTGGGGCTAAGAGAAACACCGTACATGTTGCCATCTGCAGCATCTCACAGTCACACCAGTTCCTGGACAGACTCCATATGTGACCCTAATGCAGTGCAGGATAATCCTTTTCTAATTAATGAGGAATCAAAGAAAGTGACTCGGCACTCCTTTCCAAGTCAGGATGATTCAGAATCAGGTGTCTTTTCTCTGGGCCTAACACAAATAAACTGTGGACCTGAAATGTTGCCAACTGATACTCAGAGGAGAGTTATTCATAATTTTGTAAGTTATCCTAAAGCAGAAGGAAGCAGAAACATGCAAGTGTCCACCCCTGCCTTTTTACCAGAGGCTTCTCAACCCTACCGTTATTGGGACTTTAAGAAAAACAGTGATAGAAAACAGATCCATTCATTGAGTTCAAGCTGTAGAGCAGAACAGACTACCTACAACAAATGGTACCCACAAAAAGATGAGTTATTCAGTGATCAGCCTGAGCATCTTTGGGCTGACTTGGAAGAGTTCACATACAGACATTCAACTGCTGGGAGAGAGCTGCCGTCTGTTTCCAGCTGGGATTCATTCTGTGCTCCTGATTTTAATGTAAACCCAAGAGGATTCAATGGCCTTAATTTCTACCAAACATCTGGGAACTACTTAGGACAGAGAAGACTCCCTGTATCTTCATCTAGTTGGGGAGACTATGAAACACCAACAGGTAACACTAACAATTGATACAACTTCTTCTAGTTATAATTTTAAAAGCTAAAGCTAGGGGCTGGAGAGATGGCACAGTGGCTATAGTACTTATAGCTGTTGCAGAGGACCCACGTTTGGTTCACAGCACCCACTTTGGGTAGCTCATACTACCTGTCACTCAAGTTCCCAGGGATATGGCACTTCTGGCTTCCTTGGACACCTGCACTCACATGCACTCACCCGCATGCAGACATATACACATAACTAAAAATAAAATATTTTAAAATGATAGTGCTATAATCAAATGTCAATGAATGTTTTATTTTAATTGTCACACAAAAGTTCTCCATTAACTTTAGGTTTAAGAAAAAATCAAACTTATTGGTCTAACAAAATATTTCAAATTCTTGTAGTATCGAATGAACCATACCTTCTACTTAAGTTTAAAATAGCATTCAGGAGGATCTCTGAGTTCAAGGTTAGCCTGATCTACATAGTCAGTTCTGGGACAACCAGAGCTTCAATGAGAGACCCTGTTGCAAAACAGACAAAATAAGGGAAAAAAATTTAAAATAAAAACAGCAAACCTAAGTAAAGCAGAGGATGATCAGGATTAAACAGAGGAATCAGACCATCAGGTACATATATCTGTTTTGCTAGTATTTGTTAAATTACGGGCTGATGACAGCTCAGTCACTAAGGTGCTTACTGTGCAAACATGAGGACCTAAGTTCAATACCCAGAACACACATACAAAAGCCTGGCATTGTGTCCATGGCTCAGAACCCCAGAACTCAGGAGGCAGAGTCAGGTGGATCCGTGGGGCTCACTGCCAGACAGCCTAGCATATTTGGCAAGCTCTAGGCCAGGAAGAGATTCTGTCTCAAAAAAATCAGGATGGTTGGTACCTGAAGAGGAACAACACCTGAGTTTGTCCTCTAGCCTTCATGTGCACATGCACGCATGTGTAACACACACACATACACACCCGATGCTAGACCCCAGGTAAACCTTTTCTATAAATTGTTTAACTTTATTAGGTAGGAACCCCTTTCAGCTTTACTTTGATGGTTATTTTTTTACTTGTCTGAACATTTTATCATTCACTTTCTAAAAAAGGACATATTCTCAGTCAGTATGCCTTTATTTCTGTATATGGCATTGACCTGAACATCTAGAATAAAATGTTAAATTCTCACAAGGCGTATGAATGTGGCTTTGCCATAACAGGTAGCTGGAAGTGAGAAGGAAAGAAATTGAAATTTCAAAACTTCTCTTTTCATAGACTCCTTCAACAGATCAGAGCAGGGCCTAGAAGGATAATCTCACATTCTATATTTTATTAAGAGAGGGCCTCCTAACCTCACTATTGATCATCCTCTCCTCCTCCCCTGCCCTGCCCCTGCCTCCAGATGGTTCCACTGGGTCGTCCCCACCCAGTGGCCTTCCTGCTGCTTTCATGTTCATGTATTGTATTACTTTCTTTTACCCCCACCCCCATGAAGGTCTCTCTTTACCCTCATGGTCTCTTTCCTAGCTGGATGACCTATACTAACCCTGTACATAAACATGCAAATTACTATCCAGTCACCACAAGGAGATAATATGCATGGCTCTTTCACCACCTGACTGTTAACACACTTTCCAGTTCTATCCATTGTTCAACAAATGTGATGATTTCATTTTTCTTTAAAGCCTAATAAAATCCTGCTGTGTGCATGCATAGGAACACTGTTAATATGACTTCTGTTGTTAGGTTTTGATTTTCATATCAAGAGGCATGCATTTAGCTGATTGTGGGTGTATGCTTTGTTACAGCACCTTTATAAATGAACCAGATCAAACCCCATCTTTCTACTCTGCAACAAATTATACATGTGAATTCTATAGACTCCTGGACATGGAGCACTTCCCTATATAATTATCTCATTCTCTCCATGATATAATTGCAGAAAGTATGTCTAAAATCTCACATGTAAGCTTTTAGGCATATTGATGGAATACTCAGATATCTACGTAAATTTTAGTTCATTTAGTTTTGAATAACTAATTTTTATCTGCTTGTGTATGTATGTGGCATGTGTACATGCATATATGTATGTATGTTCATGTATAGGTGCACATACACTGATGCATGTGCTCATGTGTGCTGTCTGGTCTCCCTTCGCCATCTCTACCTGTCCAGTGAGGCAGCCTTTTAACTGAATCCAGAGCTCATGAAAGTACAGTTACTGTAACCAGCTTGCTCCAGAACCTTCCAGCCTTCTGAGTGCTGGAACTGCCATGCCCATACAGCATTTACATGGATACTGGAACTCAGGTCCAGGCATTGCACAGCAAACACTCAACATGCTGAGCCATCTCCCCAAGCCCCTAGTCAATATATGTTAAATCATTCACATACAATTTTATCTGTTTATAGGTTGTTTTTCTGGTTCCTAATTACTTCCATAAAATAATTTCATGGAGTCGGGCAGAGGTGGCACACGCCTTTAGTCCCAGCACTTGGCAGGCAGAGACAGGTAGATCTCTATGAGTTCAAAATCAGCTTGCTCTACAAGAGCTAGTTCCAGGACAGGCTTCAAAGCTACACAGGGAAACTCTGTCTCAAAAAACCAGTAATAATAATAATAATAGTAATAATAATAATAAATAATAATAATATAATTTCATTCTGAAATTTAACATGAGTCTTTGGTGGTGGTATCTTCACTGTCACTTGGGCAAATATTGGCTTATATAATGGGCTTTTCCATGGCACACCACAGTGTCCAAATATAATTGTTGTTTTATCTTTGACACAGCAGTTGTGCCTTAATCTATTGCTATTTCAGCCAACAATTGTGACTCTGCAGTTACCGGCAGTGGCCCAGCCACTCAGGGTAAAGCCTGGAGGGAATTCTGTCCCCACAGGCACCAGCTCTGTTACTGCAGCTAAAGGTAGCTTTAAGGATCTCTATCATTCTATTTATAAGATGTGAGACTCAAAGGCTGGGGTGGACACCTGGGAGCTCAGAGGCTGAGTAGCAATTAGCTAACCTTTTCTCCTTGCTGGCATCTCTGAAAGACCTGTTTCCACTCTGCCAAACCAGAAAAAAAAAAAGCCATACCACTACTTCCTGTGTCTCTCTATCTCTCCCGATGCCCTCTCATGCTCTATGATTACTTTCTGTCAAGTAGTTTCTAACTCAGTCTCCTGACCCAAGGTCAATTTTATTTAATCAATGCAAATGCAAACCTGGGGTTCATAGTGTGATCGAATATTCCCCAACATATAATGTTTAAGATAGATAATTTTTTCAAGTCAATATTGACAAAGTCTTGGGAAGTTTATCCAAAGGCTCTAAGATAATTTTCCACTTGTTCTGTGTGTACTTTTGATCTCTTTGATATAATTAACCTACTATATTACTTTTAAACTTATTTATAATGGCACCTAGCTCATGAAGTTCTGATGTGATACTCCCAAGAATAATTACAAAACTTTTAATTTTTTTACCTTCTTTTAAAAAACTGATCTAGTAAATCAACCTCCATAAGGGTTCAAATCTAGGGCATTTAAAGCTAATATATCATACATAATAAGTTCATATAAAGTGAGTCATTCCTGGTCACCTCCTGTTATATATTAAGACTGAGGATAATTTTTATAGTGTAAATATAGAGCAGGGATAGACTTATAACTGACAAGCAATAGTCTTTTAAACATGGTATATTAAAGATGCTGGGGTACTGGAGAGATGGCTCAGCAGATAAAGGTACTTGCCTCCAAGTCTGCAGGTCCCAGTTCAGTCCCTGGGACCTAAATGGTGATAGGAGTGCAGATTCCAGTAAGTTGTCCTCTGACCTACTCTCTCTCTCTCTCTCTCTCTCTCTCTCTCTCTCTCTCTCTCCACATGCAAAAAGTAATTAAAAATTTTAAATAAAGATGGAATGAAAGCTGAACAGCTAGTAAGATGTAAGCATATTGAATACGTATCAACAGTTTCAGTGGCACACAAAGCACATTGTGTGAGCTCAAAGTCAATTAGAGTAAGCCTTAAACTTATTTTAATCTGTGTTAGAAACCTTCAGGAATTAGGAAGCCTGCCTGAGTGGCTTCTTGAGCTATTTCCAATGGTTTTGTCTAAACATACTAGAACCAGGAGAGACTTTGAGATTGTATAAACTTGGCAGGAGAGGATAATGGAATCTGGGCCTAATGAAAAGTTCACACAGTCTGTGTGTGTGCTGATTTAAACACAGAGCCATTGGGCACAGGTGCATTCAAGTTTTTAAAAATAACCATTTCTCATAGTTACTTATCCCAATAAAATGGTTTTCCTTTTCTCCTTTGACAGGCTTAATGTACTCACAAGTACCACAACCCAAAAGACAACGTCTAACATATGAAAAAGTCCCTGGAAGAATGGATGGACAAACCCGGCTGAGATTCTTATGAAGGACAGAAGGACAGTGCCATGTGCCAGATTTTATGATAACCCAGTAGCAAAATGATTAGGATTGATTATACATAAAAGAAAATAGCATTATTTGTACATGTTCTCAGTGTTTCTACCATATATTCAATTTCCATAATATATATTCTGTCCTGTAATTTGCATCTAAATCTGATCATCTGATTTATCAATTAGCTTAATAAGCCTAAGACCCCCAAAAGTATTCAGATTTATGTGTATTTCACATGAATTTTGTCTTTTTAGAGATTTGGTTTTTTTCACTTACGTGTATGCATATGGAGGGTATGTGGAGGCCAAAGCTGTCCTAAGTTCCTACCATAGTCTTTTTTTTTAGGATTTAATTTTTCTTATTAAATGTATATGTGCATATTGGTATGTGCATATTGAATACAATGCCTGTGGGATCCAAAAGAGGGCACGGGAGCCCCTGGAGCCTTAGTTACTGGTGTTTGTGAGCCGCCTGATGTGGTACTAGGAACCATACTCCAGTCCTCTGCAGGAGCAACAAGCACTCTTAACCACTGAGCCATCTCTTGGCTCCCACCCCATCACAGTCTTACAATCTGAGGCAAGAAGTGAGGATCACACCAGACAGTCAGAGAGGTTCCATGGCAGTTTCCCTAAACAAAATAGAAACAGGAGCAAACGGACATCTTTGCAAGTTAAATTGTGGGAAAGAAAGGTTCACATTCTTAAATGCACAAAGCATCCCTTCAAACCTGGAGGAAAAAGAAACCTAATAGAATAAGTAAAATGTCCAGACAGATGATTCCCAGAACGAGACTAACTTGTAAACATGTAGGATAAGCAGCTTCATTGTTTGTTATACAGATTATTGCCTACATGGTTGGGCTCAGAAAATATATTACTAAGAATTTATCTTAAAAGGCTGGAGAGGTGGCTTAGAGGTTAAGAGCACTGGCTGCTCTTGCAGAGGTCCTGAGTTCAATTCCCAGTATGCACATAGTGGCTCACAACCATCTGTAATGAGATCTGGTGCCCTCTTCTGGCATGCAGGCATACATGCAGACATAACACTGTATACATAATAATAAATCTTTAAAAAAGAACTTATCTTAAATAAATATCAACTATAACATGAAATCTATTGTATGTATGACTTATAATAGGTTAAAATTATAGACAATTGGCTACCAGGAGAGAGGGCAAAGTAAATAATGTAGAGTATAGAATACCTTGAAACTATTTCAAAGAAATTAAGTGTGCTCTGACAGAGAATGGCCCATAACAATGAAAATGGGCAATTCCAATTTGCTCAAAATGATTCTATACATATGGGGGAAACTTGAGCAACCATGAACTCCACATTCTCTGATGCATGACTTTGTTCACAACTATGGCAAGGTTCTAGGAACCTTGGCTCTGTGGGTACAGTAACTGCCTGGTATTCAAAGCTCTGGGTTCAGTTCCCAGAACTTCATAAACTGAGCACACCAAAGTCAAAAAAAGGTCATGACCCTTGACTACAGAGCTAATTTAATACCAACCCTGGAACACGTGAAAAGCTTGTCTCAAAGGGGAAAAAAGACTAAGGAAATCATTGCATCGCACCCACTAAAACGTGTTTGACAGGAAGGCACAAACAAAGGCTGGTATGAGGCTTGACCCAGGTTCCCAGCAGCTCAGTGACCTGTTCTCTGGTGAGCACCCTGTCATCCTCCCCTCTCCTTCGCTTTCTTTTCTGTCTATAACCTTTAATTTTATTTATTTATTTATCTTTCTATTTATTCATTCGTTTATTTATTTATCTATTTATTTATTTGTGCTTCTCTTTTTCTGTTCTTTTCCTCACACAGAAAGTGTTGGAATCAACAGTTACAGGGGCTGCCCCAGGGGCTGCAGGTCCAGCAGCAGATGTGAGTCTTTTTCAAGATGAAGCTCTATGTAATACTGTATTCTCCTTAACCAGCTTAGGTACATAAAAGTTTTTCACTTTGCTTAAATTTAGATTCCTATGTTTTTGTCACTAATTAAATTTTTTACTGTTAAACTCCTCACCCCATTTTTCTATAGTTTTTTGTTGTTGTTGTTGTTGTTGTTGTTGTTTTGTTTTTGCTAGGGGAGAGGTTCTGTGTCACCCTGGCTGTCCTGGAACTCACTCTGTAGACCAGGCTGGCCTCAACTCACAGAGATCCACCTGCCTCTGCCTCCTGAATACTGGGACTAAAGACGTGCGCCACCACTGCCCAACCCTATAGCTTATTTAATGCTGCTTAAACTTTTCTATAGTATTAGAAAAACATTTCCACATTATGTTTTATAATGAATATAACAAGTACCAAAATCTAATACTGCAAAAAAGAACATTACAGAACCTCACTTTTATTAGTGCAAACATTCTAATGGAAGATTACCATAGCAAATGGAAACTAGCAACAATTAAAATAAATCAAAATCCATCTGAGTTCAATTTGCAAAGATAGTGCAAAGGCATATATTAATATAATTCCTTATTAATATAACTGATGCATTTAAGGAAAAATTAATATAATGAGCATATCTAATCCCCCTAAGATATCTAACAAAGTTCAGCATGTTTTTAATTGGCATACAAATAGGTTTCAGTATGCTATTTTCAAAATTTGCTTTCAATTTTTAAAAACCCTATTGTTTAATTCAACAGCTTCCAAGGCAGTCTCACTAACCCATAAGGCAGTTTTCATCCTCCATGTTTGAGAAAGCAAGAACAAGGACTGGATTTCCCCAGGTAACTTTCTGGCCCAGGGTCCCTTCTTTACAGTGAATTACACTAGCAGATTCCCTTCCGGGGGTCATCTGCTGGATCTGATTTATTTATATTCAGGGCAGTTACATCTGTATAGTGTCTACAGTTTCAATTATCTCATGTAGTGTGTTACTGAAGGACAAAGTGGATCCAAAGAGAATTTTGAATGGACAGTTATATCTGTATAACATCTATAGTTTCTCTCAATTATCTCATGTAGTGTTGCTGTAGGAGAAAGTTGATCCAAAGATAAGTTTAATGGAATTTGGAATGTTTAAAATTCTTGTTACTTGAGGCAAATAGAACATATATAATGCAAATAATAGGAAAAGAGGTGGTTGAAGAAGAAAAATCCATAGTGTAAACTTTCAGACAAGATTAAACAGACAGTAGAAGCATTAAAATGACACCCAAATTATGATTAATATGGAATCCAATCACTGATATCTGAATGATGCTTTGAATTAAGGGAGGGCTCAGCTAATGGCTTCCGTTTTCTCCACTGTAATCGACCGATGTCCTTGTATTCCCACTTGCTTGCTCCTGGGTGAATGCCATTCAGAGCTATTCCAGAGAGCAGCTGTGGCTGGTAATTGGGGGCTGTCTCTCATGTTATGTTCACACCTACTTTTGGACATGTTCTACAGGGATTTCAAACCCAAGTTCCACCCTCTCTATGCAACACTCCAACTCAGCAGCAAACAGAAATCCATGGGATCCCAAAAGACAAAACCAAACACAAAATACTGTTGTCATGGAAAATGATGTATTGGGCAAAAAATTTATTTCCAAGTTCTTCAAAGATTATTATAAACACAAACTTTCCTTCTAAAAGTATCCCCAATTAAATCAAAGGCACATCACCTGAATAACATACTTGTGACATTAATTCTTTTAGGTTTCATTTTGTTTTTAACCAATTGCAATGTTCTGAATGTAGGTCACATTTTAAACTTTTTTAAAAAGGCATAAGCATATTTTTAAGAGCTACAAACACAATTATAAATTGTAAACTACAGGAACTAAAGAAAGATCTAACCAACCTCAGGATGGGCACCCTAATGCTACATCAGTTCTTTCAGTTGGTTAAGGAGCGTCTCCCAAGTCTACTGTCAGAGAAAGACCATATCTCATTAAGGAATGAAACGGTATCCTTAAAAAAAAAAAAAAAAAAATCAGTATATCAACTATTCCCCCAATTTTATACTTTGTCTTCATTTAGTAATTGTAAATTCTTAAAAACAAATTTTATTAGAGTATAAAAATGTTAGGAAAATGACAAATGCTCAGTTTTTTGAAAATAAACGTTTCCCTTCTAAAATGCAAACACCCAGTAAGTAAAACATGCCTATATCCCATGCAGAACATCGAAGGTTCTGTGAGGGAAGGGATGCAGCTTAGGAAATTTGGTGGTGAGGTTAAAACAAACTGATTCCTATAGAATTTGGCTCTAGGACCAGGCAACAGAGGAGGGGATTTGGCTGTTGAAAATGTTTTCTTGGGTCGTGGCGGCAGTCATCCATCACCATGTGCTTCCCCAGCGAACTTCTTCCCTGTTGGAGAGAGTTTAGTTGGTTTTCACTTTAGTGAGATTGACTTGTAAAGTAACGTCATCATCTCATAGGACACCTAATATTCACAAAGTAGAAAACAGTACATGCATACAGTAAAATATGTAAGCCCCATCCTTGGACAAACAGCACCATGACAGTGCTTTGTAAAAGGAGAACCGCAATGTCGGTGTTAAGACAGTTAGTTACCTTAGCAACCCAATGCACCACTTCCTTCAGTACGTAAAATGTGCCTGATAGCAGAATCAGCTCCTAATTCAATATGAGCAATTTCCCTTTACAAGTATTACTGTGTAAATACAAAATGTGAAATATGTTGGTCCCGAGACTAATAATCCATGTCCAGGTTGGACTTGAACTCGCCCAGTTTTCATTTCTTTTTAAAGTTTTGAGGTTGGTGGGTAGGCAAAAGTCGTAGATTGCTCCATTCATAACATTTTCACCATATCCTACACAAAAGCCACACTAGGAAATATGGAGGCATGAGTAAGAAGAGCTTCCTCTTGACACAGAAGCAGCCAACATGGAGAAGCAGGGAAAACACTCACTATCTGAGCATGCCCACACTGGCAGCCTACCCTGTCTGTCCTGCATGTTATCAGTGAGAATGGACAATGTCTCTACTTTTAAAATGGTTTTAAAGAGGATTCTTTGGTGAATCCTCCCAGAAACTGAAGTGTTTGTAGCACTATGACTTGCAGGAGGTGATGAAGGAACCACCAGTTTGTTGTCAGGAGTCGAACAGGGCAGCTGGGCAACCACGCAGTAGAACTGCCTTCCTCGAGCTCCAGGAGGCTGTGAGGCCAGTCATTTCCAGATCCACTCACTAGGAAAGCCGAGATTCTGCTCATCATTTGAAAATACACCTTGCGTAAGCTCTTCTTTGCCATACTACCTTTTCAGGTCAACAGGTATGGGTGAACAGCTCTGAAAGTCTACCTTACAGTTCTTACCTGGGTTTGACCTGCATTTCTTGTCCCTGTCTTTTGTTTTTGATTGGGGGGGGGGGGGGCGCGGGGATGGTGGGGGGATTTGGGTTATAGGGTTTTTTGGGATTTTATTCCGACTCTGAGTTGTTTGCTGTTGCATCCTGGGTCTCATTCTTGGTCAGGTTTGCTTGTTCCTTGCTGTGAATTCCTGTTTCTAAAAATGCCTTTGAGAGCTCCTGTTCCTGTTCTTGACTCAGCCCCCCTCTCTCATTTTTTTCCCCTTTGCCCATGAGAGTCACTAGTTCTGAGTGCTCCAAATGCTGGTTCCTTATGCAGTTGGTTTTTGGTAAGCTTTTAACACTTGAGATTGTACTTCCTTCTATAGAAATGCTTATAATTTTCATTTTTCCCTAATGGATTTAAACTTCATTCTTATCATTAATCAATAACATTTTTAAAAACTTGTGGAAATATAAGACCCAATGCAAAACATTGAAACTCATGCCGCCATGCCATTCTAATGAATAAACCTGTTAAAACGCCTTCAGACACACACATGCATGCATACACATGAGTAGCTACAAAATCAAAGGAGAAACCACAGCTCAAAGCAGACAAAGTTAGCCCCTCTGTTAAGTCCTTAGTCCCAAAAGATGCAAGTCAGTTAGAAACACCAGATAGAAAATCACAACTCTGGGATGCTGTAAGAACAGAGAGGGAATTAAGGTCAAGAAGGCAGTGGTGGCGCATGGAAGGCAGAGGCAGCTGGGTCTCTATGAGTTTGAGGCCACCCTGATCTACAGAGCTAGTTCCAGGACAGCCAGGGCTATTACACAGAAGCCCTGTCTGAAAAAAAAAAAAAAAGGAAAGGAAGGAAGGGGAAGAGAGAGAGGGAGGGAGGGTGGGAGGGAAGGAGGGAGAGAGAGGGAGGGAGAAAGAAAAAAAGAAAGAAAGGAAGAAAGAAAAAATACTGCAGTCAGCTCAGTTAAAGAGCTTGTGTGCATAAGGCATGTCACAGATAGTGTCAAAGAGAACAGAGCTTCTCTTAGCTAGACCTCTTCCATGTGCAGAGAAACCATGACCAGAATCACCCATCAGGCAAAGTCCAGCATTTTGTCAGTTTTTTTTTAAAACCTCTGTTGCCCGTATCCTTTGAGAAGCTTCATGGTAACACTATGACCCCAAGATGGCATGGTGCATCCCTAACTCACCTGTCGTCACAGTAAAGCACAGGATCTGGGCTCCCGGAAGGGATTGCTTCCAGCTGGAACGCCAAGCAGCAGGGCATCCTTGCAGGCATTCTGCATGCAATACTGCTGAAGCTCTGCAGCTGCCTGAGAGACCTGAGACAAAGCACAGTGGAACACCCTGCTCACAGCTAGGTCCAGTGGCAGGCACTAGACAGTGTGAGGTGGGGCACCATTACCATTATCCAAGGCTGACTCCAGTCACTCATTCCCACGAAAGTCTGCAGTCTATGATGGAGTTTCAGGTATGTCTGGTTTGCTTTAACAAAGGAAGAGCTGCAACTCTGATCTATTTAGAATTCTAGTTTTGAGACTGAACTTGTAAGAAATGGCTCATTTTCAAGCACCCAGTACAAATATCTACTATGTAAAACATGCACTGATAATCTAAATTTGCTATGTGAACAATGCCAGAGCTTAGTCCAGTCTGTGCCAAACAAGAGATAAAATTTTCTGAAAGTACAGCTTGCTGGTTAAGAATTCAGTCTCTGGGGCTGAGGGTGGAGCTCAGTGGTGGAATGCTTGCCTAGCAAAAGTGAGGCCCTGGAGTCAGTCCCAGGCACAATGCACAAGAATAACAGTCATCATTGTCATTGTCATCATCATCATAAATAAAACAGGGCTATTTTGTTTTAGCCATGGTTTGAGTGTATATGCCAAGGGCTTAGATGTTGAAATTTAATTTCCACTCTGAAGGGTGGGAACTTGTGTATGTATTCGATGTACACAGGTGTGTTGTCTGCATGTACATCCGCACCCAAGAAGAGGGCATCAGATTCCAGGAGAATACAGTTATAGATGGTTGTGAGCCACTATGTGGGTGCTGGGAATTGAACTCAGGACCTCAGGAAGAACAGTGAGTGTTCTTAGCCACTGAACCATCTCTCTAGCCACAAGAGGACAGAAACTTGAACCATTACATATGATGTTTGATTCAAGGCTCATTTTTGGGAGGAGGTTGGGATTAGATAAAGTCATCAGGGTGGAGCACCCCATGACTAAATACTGGAGGCTGTATCTGAAAGAGGCCTGAGGGACAGACACAGACACTCATGCTCCTTGCCTCCCATCATAAAAAAGCCCTGTGCTGCCTTGGGAAGTGACCAGCTAAAAGGCCATCAGCAGATAGAACCCCCCTAGACCTTGGACCCTCCAGAACCATAAGCTAAAATAAACTTGTTTTCTTTATGTTATTCTATATGTGGTGCTTGGCTGTTGGCAACAGAAAACAGACTAATACAATTCTGTTACAGCTGTTTATCATATGCTTACAGATGCTACCAAATTTCTCAAGTGCCTTAGGGATTTGCTTTTACTACTAAAAAATTTAATTATTAGTGTATAAAATACAATATAACCAGACTAACGTTTAAGCTACTTTCCATCAATAGAAACTCTGATGTTTTCACATTAATTATAATTGGAACTAATGGTTTCATATGTTATTAATTTTCAAAGAAATGCAGAACCAATCATGCCCACGCTTGCTGTGTATGAGGGAAACAGGTGAACTGCACATGTGATAGGTAGGGGTCTCTCCCAGGGCACCTGGAGAAAGGGGTCATAGTGACAAAGGGAAAGGGGATGTCCAGAGAAAACAGAGTAAGAGAGATGAGCAGCTCTCAGCAGGGCCAAGGGAGACTAGGTGACAGAAGACAAACCCCAAACCCTGTATGCTATCCCACCTGGGTTATCTGACTCAGGAACTTCTGAGAGGCCACTCCAGAGGAGTCCTTAAGACAGCAGGCTTTCCAGTCCCTGGAGAGAGATGCCAGAAGACCAGTCCCTGGAGAGGGATGCCAGAAGACCAGTCCCTGGAGAGGGATGCCAGAAGACCAGTGCCTGGGGAGGGATGCCTGAAGACCAGTGTCTGGCTTATGGTGTGTCTAAGTATGCCAGGAACTTCCAAGACTGAGCCCTGAAATGAAGCTGACTAGATTCTGTAATGTGACTCCCTTAAAGTGCTGCCCAAGTCCACCTAAATGCCCACTGTGTGTCATCCACAATCCATTCTCAAGTGTAGGTCAGTCTCTTCCCTAGAGAATGTCCACAAGCTGAGAGATATTTGATTCAGTTTTCCTTCCAGACCTGATACTGAGCACTTTGAACAACTCTAGTTTTAGTTCCCTGTGTTCTTTGTCAAACAAGCTTATTCTCTGCCAACACCAGTAACTGCTCCACCTTGGAGGGTGAAGGATCACAACTTCAAATCATCCAGGGTGGAGCTGTGATTCTCTTGCGCTGACCACTAGGTGTCGCTGCTCCTTATGTCTTCATCGTCACTGAAAGGCTGGCCTGCTCGCCCTCTCTGCACACTGGGTTCAGCTTTTTCCAGCCAGACCCTCAAGCTCCTTGGCCTCTGACCCCACCCCTACTTTCTGGCATAACTCTTACTCACCCACCATCTGGACCAACCTTCGTGTGCTCTCTGCCTTCAGAGTCCTTGATGGTCAGATGCCAGTGAGGGAGGAAAAAGGAACCACAAGTGGCACAGGCCTCCTATTTCGGTGTGTAGGTTGTGGCTGCTGAGGCCAGTGTGCCTTTGTGGACAGCACTTCCTCCACCCTTTGCTAGTTCCCATTCCACCGTCCGAGAAGTAAACTCCGCTTCCTGTTTCACAAGACTGCCATGGCCACATCCAGTAACCCATGATCAGAGGCACTCTACATACAACTTCACCTCCTTTCAGCCTGTCCTAGAAGATGCCACCCCAAACCGTGTCCCCTCGACTCCCTTGGTTTCTTCCCTAGACAAAACAATGACAAAATAAACAAATCTTTCCTATCAACCCCCGAATCCTTTTTTTGTTTTCGAAATTAAAAAAAAAAAAAGTTATTTCCTCTTTGAAACTAGACTTTTTTTTTTTTTTTTAACCTGCCTGGCCTCTAAGAAAGTCCAGAGTTGGATACTACACCTTATTGGCACTTCTCTGTACCCCATGCCTGTCCCTTTAGTTTCTAAGCCTGGTTATCATTTTGTTTGTTGGCTAATTTGTTTGTTTACCGCCAGGTCCAGAGTTAATACACTACTAAGGAAATTGACTACCACGATGGCGCATCCATCTATCCACACATTGCAGATCATATTAGCTGCTAATCACACACTAAGTCAAATGAGTAAACACTGGCTGTGTTCATGAGCCTCCATCTCGCGCTGGGAATTGAAACTGGGTACTTTTATTTTATTTTTACTTTTTAATAATTCTTCCCTCACCTTCTCCGGACAATCTCTTTTGAATTGTCCCTGGTGGCACCCTACAAGTTCTGCTCTTTGTCTATTTCACACTCACATATTTTAATGACTTCTTTTGGCCTTATGCTGTGGGCGTCTGTCCACAAGGCTAAATGTCTCCTGGATATCTGTAAAATCCACAGATCCAAAATGGAACTCATTTCCCCAAACTCTTCCTCCCGATCCCCAGGCTTGAGCATCCTTCCTCCCTCTCACTCTCATTCGCCTTTCCCTGAACAGCATCCTCCCGCTGCCGCGGGTCAGGCAAGAGTCCAGGCCGCCAGCGTGTCACTGGCCTGGTGTGGACACACCCACCGGGCCCTAGGACCTTGGCCACGTCTCGAGACTGGCTGTCTCGCCGGGCGCATCCTTGGGGCCGCC